ATTGCATTAATTATTAGCAATTGAAAAAAGTGGACAATTTCGACCATTTTTGAGCTCTTGCGCATAAACAAATTATCGGAATTTAATCGGACTTGTCTTATTTTACAAATTTATTTAATACCTACCTTTTTTGTATAAACCTTTTTTTCTCTATGAATAACAGTTTTTTACGCCAGTCGAAAAACCACTTTTCCATAATTTTGACCATTGTTTTAACAAAGTTTCCCAACTAGTCTCGAGTTGATTTTTTGATATTTTGTTTGTAACACGTTTCTGAATAATATTCCGCAGAGAAACTTCTAATAGTATTTTTTTCCCGAAAAAAAACTATAATGATTGGCCTATTATATCAATTGGTAATATTCAAATTCTTCATTTTTGGCATTTTTTCAACCCCTAAGTAGGGGTGATTTTTTAAATTTTCAAAATACTAAAAGCTATGCTCATTTCAGTTTTTTACGACAAGTAATTTGCGACCAAAAACATATTTTTATGTATTTTTTTTAATTGTCTGTGAATTGTGAAAAAACGGGCGAAAATCACAGGTTTTTTGCGGTCACTATTTATGTCTGACGGATCGCAGTGGCTATGGATGAGGCACGCGAACAAACAAATGACTTTGACTTTGACAGAAGTTTATTTATCTTTATTAATTTATTTCCTATAACAAACTATTTTAACAAAGAAATAGTGTTTAGTGAGAACGAAAATTTTGAACTAATCCTTTTATTTTAACAAGAATAATAATAATGTGAATGCAGCGCGCGTCAAGTATGCTCGTTTGCATTCCGGGTTACCAATTCCATCTCAAGCTGCATTTTACGACATTAAGCGACGCTTTAGAGAAACAAAATCTCTTAGAAGACAGAAACGAACAATTATTCCAAATGAAGAATTAGAACTAACTATATTACTATATTTTCAAGGTAAACAAATATTCATTCAAATATTAAATTATTGTAGAAAGGCCACAGTATATGCAGAGCTGACAGTTAGAAATAAGCCAAAGTAAAATTATTAGAACGTTACATAATAAATATAAATACCGTCTCTATAACACGATGCCGGTCCAAAAACTCACCCAAAATCAAAAAATTCAGCGATTAGAATGCTGCAAAGAAATGCTGCGCTTGAAAAATGGAGGAAATACTCAATGGCCTTCAAATAGCCCAGACCTTACACCCTTGGACAATTTTCTACGGGATTACTTAAAAAACGAGGTTTATAAGGAAACTAGTGTAAACTTAGATGAACTAAGACATAAAGTTGATAAATAAATGTATACAAAATTTAAGTGAATTTAATTCCCATTTCATACTAAATGCAGTTCTGAAAATTAATGAGGATTATACGAAGTGCATCAATAATAATGACGGTCACATTAAGCATCTGTGACCATTTGTGTTTTAGTTGGTTTTTATTAACTATTAAAATTCTGTTAAAGTTAAGAATGATTTTTATTATTATAATAAAATAAACAGATAACTTCAAATTATTCGTTCTCACTAAACATTATTTCTTTGTTAAAATAGTTTGTTATAGGAAATAAATTAATGATGATAAATAAACTTCTGTCAAAGTCATTTGTTTGTTCCGCGTGTCTATTCTATTTTTTCAAAAATAGTTTTAAATTGAAATATGTCGAAAAGTCTTGAATTAAACAGAAACATATTACATATTTTTGAAAAGAGAAAAATTTAACAAAGCTAAGTACTGATGCGCTAATAATATAGGGTGTTCCATTAAAAAAAATTAATTTAGTAATTTCCATTATTCAATTGCTTTTTCTAATATTGTATTATAAAAAATCATAAAATACCTAGCTAAAACTTTTGTATTAAAAACATTTTTGTAATTTCAACAATAAACTCACAATAAATTGTCAGATTATAGTGATTAACCCTGTACATCATGTACTATATGGGATATGGTTGCTGGAGAGATTTGATTTTACAGCGTAAAAAGGCTGCCAAGCATGATGTGTACCAAATTTAATTTAAATATCTTCCTTAAACAGAAGTTTTCAAACTTTATCTTATCTTGAGAAGGGTGCATTTTTGACAACTTATTCATATGAAATACGAAATATTATTTATATTATTTACTTCCAAAAGGCAATCACATGTTGCCGGGCCTGACATTAAATCTGACTCACCCTGTACATTTTATCACCTCGGACAGGGATATTCTACAAAAGAACCCTGCCAGAATTGTGTCATGTTAATTTATGAATTATGATACATGCAGTTATCTACAATCCTTGTCAAAATATTTGGCATCGAATAAATATAAAACAGAGATTTGGCAAAGTATAAAGGTAATATTTTTAATGCTATCGGCACTAAGCAGCGTGGAAACAATGGTTTAAAAAAATTATTTGTTCGTGGCGAATTTTATAATTTCTTTTATATAATTACTTATTTCTGCAACACCGGAAAAACAAAGATATTTTAAATAAATAAATCCCTTACACTAAGGACCAGTTAAGATGTTGATTTTTTGTAATACTATACAGCATACAGTATATAAAGGGTGTCGCGGAAATAAGTGCCAAAAAATCATCATCTCGACAAAATCTGCAACTTTCGTCTGATGCATTTTTTCGATCTTAAATATTAAAGAAATATTTAAGTAACGCATGCGACTGTTTTATGGAATCTTGATATTCGACTTCCGCTACTATCACAAACAAACAAACAAATATAACAAATATTTTTAAAAATATTCTATCTAAACAACCAGGTGGTTTTTATTTAATTTTTTAAACTTACTCAGGGTATTCTCTTGACAATCTCTAATAATATTCTTCGAACAATTCTCCTCGATATTATTCTCCTCTACTTTCTCTACCCCTTCAGGTATCTGAGATTTGCTCATTGCCGATTGTAGATCGGCTTTGCTGTATCTGATCTCGATCTGTTCGTTATTGTTCAAAACTATGGACTCTTTCTGCATCTGCGCGTTTTCCTGCAATCTCCCATCCGCAGGAAACATCCCTCCTTGCTCCTTATCTTGATCAGATATCATGTTTATGCTGCCAGTGTTGAGATCCACCGACATGATACATTTTCCGTTGTTTTGGGCGCTATTAGGCGTCGCAGCGCCGACTTCCGGTGGTTTGTCCGAGTCTGGTATTCGAACCACCGAACCGGGGGGATTCATCGGACACTTGTGGGACCTTTGGCTGACTTTGTACCGGAAACTCTTGTTGCAAGCTGTACACTTGTAAGGCATGACACCCGTGTGAATTCTTCTGTGGACTAGGTAGGATACCCTTTGTCTAAAGCGCTTTCCTGCCAAAGAAATAGATCTAGGTTTATGTAATAAATTTTTCATGTTCGTGGAAAGCGTCAAAATGATAAATTGTGAAAAATTATTAATTTCAATTCTATGGCCTGTTTTGGAATGAAGTGGAGTAATAAAAGGCTGTTATTTAGATGTACAATATACAAAACTCCTTATAATATATAAGAAAGGAAGAAATGTGTAACACAATTATTTATTAACTATTTACAATTAAAGAGAATTAAATACTGACACTGTGCAACTGACTAACATCCAGAAGAACGTCAGAAAAGCAGCTAAAATAATGAAGTGTCATTACAGAAGTTTGGTTTTTCTTCTAACAACCGTGCAAAACTGTGTAAGTCTATATACAAATTTAAAGCAATGTTAACTTTATCTCTCAGTAATTTTTCTCTAATCTTCATGTGAGATGTTGGTCTATAAACAATAATTTATATATTGCAAATACCTAAATAGGGTGTTTTGGAAAAAAAGTACTTCAAATTCTGAGGCTGATAGAACAAATCTCTTCCTATGGACCAAGAGTCTTCTGTTTTTGAGGACCTTTCTACGTGGAATAGAAATAATTTCAGGGGTAGATAGTGAAAATATGTACCGGGTGGTATATTTTATCGTTTTCGAGCTACAGAGCGATTTTACATTTTCGGTAAATTTAACATAATCCTCCTATCTTACCTTATTACCCCAGATATCGTAAAATTTTATATTTTAGAGGCACTTTTTTAAATATGTGCCATGTCACAAATAATTCTATTCTATTTTTATTTTACTTAGTTACGATTGAAAAAAAAATATTTTTCGAAAAATGACTTTTTAAAATTCGTATTTCTTTTATAAATAATTGCTAGAGAAAAAGTAAAAAAAAGGATTTTAAATTTCAAAGTCTGTATTTTTAAGAAAAACTACCCCTTCTCCATATCAATATCTCAAACATAGGCATTTTTTGAATTGATTTTTATCTACTTTTCTGTACATTGTTGTTTATTTTGCACTCTTTTCTATAAAAATACTAATTCAAACAATATTATCTATAAGATTTGAAGTATCGACTCGCTTAGACGAGATTTTTCGTTCGCACCGATCAGACTTTTCTCTAGTTTGGCCGACAATAACAGACTGAGTCCAGCTGTGGTACGGCTCGACTATTTGGGCTATAGAAGGAATTATTGTGGTGGGGGAACCCTCGGCACCTACCACCTAAGAAATGCCAGCTGTTTAAAAAAAAACGATGGTGCGAATTCGCACTAGTGTGACCTTTGAAGGTTAAGTTAGGTTAAGTTTTTTTTCAATGTGTCATATTATATTATATTGAAAATTCTTGATCTTGTTGTAACTTGATATAAATAAATTTATTGCCATCAGTATTTGAGGTATGGCCTACTAATTTCCGGCCATTATACTGGTTTTTTGGAAAAAATATGGCCAATATTTGATGTAAAAAAAATTACTATCTTTATCTCAAAAACAAAAGACCCATGGTTCGCAGAAAGAATTTTCTTCATTTTTCGATAATCCATCAGTTTTTAAATTTGTGATACCTTTTTCCAAAATACTCTGTATATAGTTAAACGTTTATTTTGACATTCACAATGCGTAGTCTTAGAACAAACAAATTACCAAACATACACACTTTTAAGGCTGATATAAAACTTATCTTTTTATTTTAGGATATAACATTAAATTATGACTTAACCTAAAAGCTTTTACGAACAGGTTTGGCGCGAAAGTTGAGTAAAAAATATTAAAAACAAATGAGTGCGCTTCAACTTCTTTTAATTAAATGTTATCCATTAAATTCGTCACAGAATATCTAAGCATTTTTTGTTATTTCATCAATAACATATTTTTTAAAATGATCTTTATTCCGGTTGACAATCGTCAAAAATTTATTTTTACCTTTATGTATTCAAACAGGACATTTGGATAGTTTAAGATTAAATCAATAAAAAATATTAAGGAAACCAGTTATATGTCTGTGGACGATTAAAAAATTACTAAATTATAACTCCAATTCATTTCAAAACTGTAGAATATATTCGTATTTGTTTTCGCAGAAAAATGAACTTCTGAACCAACTAAAGAAATGCATTACCACAAGTCTCACAACCAAAAGGTCTCTCTCCAGAATGTATCCTCGCGTGGTTTTGTAGCGTTGACAGTTCTTTGAAAGCTCTTCCACATTCATTACAAACATAAGGTTTTTCCGATGAATGGTAGAGCATATGCTTGTGGTAGGACTGCTGAAAGGTGAAGGATTTGTTGCATAGGGCGCAACAGTAGGGCATCTCTCCTAAAAAGAGAATAAACACAAATTATCTTCAATTTGTGTGATAGACGGAGTGATATATTAGGATTTGGTATACAAGCAGGATCAACGCCGTAAAAACGAATTTACCTGTGTGCAGTCTCTTATGCTTCTTCAAAAAATATTTGGTGGTAAACATCTTCGAGCAAACATCACACTCCCACTGCTTATTATCCTGCACTTTTATCTGTCCATTCTTCTGCTGCGGAACTGGCGAAAGAAGGGAAGGTAGCTGGTTTGGTAGCGGCGCACTTGCTTCCTTTTCTTCTTTCACCCTTTCTTCTGATCCGGTAGAAGAAGCACAGTGTTTTTTCCTTTCACAAGCGTCTCCATCACCGTGGTGGTGCGCGAAACCGTAGTGTGCCACCCTCAAGTGAACCATAAGACTGCCGCGCATCCTAAATTTTTTGCTGCACAAATGGCAGTGGTAGCTGTAGTTCCCAGTTTTCTTATCCGGGATGGTTTGGTGGAGGAGTTTCAGGTGCATGTCCAAGATATTCTTGTCCGTGAAGCAGAAGTTGCAAATATCACATTTTATCACCTCCTCTTCTATTTTGGAAGGCGCGATCGTCCTGACGGCTTTGCTTTCCGGTTTCTTGTTCCTCTTGGAGATGTTGTCGATGCTCTTGTTAATCTCCTCGTGGACATTGTCGTGGTGCGTCGTGGGTACGGCGACGTTGTTTATGTGACTGAACAAGTGTATGGTTAACTTGTCTAACCCCAACAAAACTTCGGAACACACTGGACAGGAGAGATGGGACGTAGCCACGCTGACCAGGGTAGACCTCAAGGCATCCACCCCCTCGAAGTGCGGTTTTAGGCACAAAGGGCACGACAACAGCTTTATTTCCATCGTGAGAGCTCTCAACACATATCGGACGCGAGGCGAATATACCGAATAGTTCGTGACGTGGGCAGTCTTATATTTACAAAATTCAGTGTTCTATTTTTGATTGGGAGATGCTAACGTGTGGATTTGGAATCGCGCTCTGGCTAAAATTAGAGACGACGGTACAGATCCGGTTTAGGAAAAATGGCTAGGTGCTAAGCCTTTGAGAATAAAAATATCGTGAATCCTCGGAAAATCAATTTATTTTCACTTTAAATGTAAACGAAAATTAGTAAGTTTAAAAATTTTAGTACACTTACATTGATAGTATGATGACAAAGAGACGGCAAGTTGTTTATTCAGCGGAAAAAATATATAGAAAGGAATGAGTACAAACAATTTGGAGAGAATATATCTTGTATTATAACGTAAAATTTCATTGTACACACAAAAACTGTTGTTTGTTGGACAGTCAATTGCGTTTATCCCAAAAGTGGTGAGTTTTCGGCAATGTTAACAGTATATTTTTTGTAAATACAATTTTACAATGTGGTACAAGACATATACTAAAAAAACTCAAAAGATGTATGTCACAAAATGTTGATTATCAATTATGCCACACCAGACGTTTATAGAAAATCGTCGTTAAAAAGTAGTATCTTTTTTGAAATGGGGATTCGCATCAGACCATCTGTGCGACGTCGAAACACAGAATCAAATGTTTGACGGTTTATCACTCTTATATTTGGAAATTGTCGTTGATACTCTCTACAGGCAACTTGCGAAATTCCATCGCAAAATCCATAAATATAAATTAATGGTCTTCGTTTGCAAACAGTACAGGTATGTTGACACAAAAGGTATTACTAGAAACACGTTCACACAATTTACTACATAAACTAACGTTTATAAATTTTGAAATCTCAGCAACCACTTGTTTCATCAACTACCATGTTCATAGCCAACGAGATTAAAGGTCCATAGCTCTGTAACCATGGAGAATCGAACTCACGTATATTTTTTATTCACAATGACCTCAGGGATTTGTTGCTTAAGTTTGCCCAGTATGTACGTCATGAACATCCCCAATGAACACCTTGTAGTGCTTCAGTTGACTTTAAATCATAGTCAAAGCAAGACCAGCAATAAACTTAAATCATGTACCAAATTTGGTTCTTCTACGGTAAAGTGTTGCATTTATAGTCTTCATCAAAATCTCTTAAAATGACAGTATAACAAATCTTATCAATTTATTAATGCGAAAGAAGGTTTTTATGTAAACTTGAATTTTCCAGAAGTTTCTATTTCAGTCACGAAAAATGCTTGAGCATAAAAAATAACCAATTACAGACACTATTGATTTCACCTAATAAATAATAGAGCGTGATTTTGGCCTAAATTTGTAAAAATTTTAGCTAAAATGTTTAAATTATGAAAATATCGTATAAGGGGACTTCGCCATTCCAATTACAATCAGTAGTATAATTTATTGGCCGATTCTTCATCCCAGGCACTTTCAAAGCCTTCTAGATTTTTAAACTTGTATTCGACAAGTGAACTAAAAAAAAAATGCAATGAAATAACAGTTGTTTGGAATAACAAGAAAGTATACTTATTTAAGACGATGGTTTGAAAATATACAGTAAAAATTTTCCATTATTGACAAAACTATTTCTCATTTAATAAATGAATGAATAAAGATCAATAAATATTCTTTTTACAAGTTTGGTACACAACTATTTTGTGGTGTTCTTTTTTCGATAAAAAAATTCCCAATATGTTTTTCTGCAAAAATGCACCCTTATAAAAAATCATAGCAGGCCAGGCGTTCGCAGCAAAGGGAAACCAATAGTTGTTAAATAAATGATGGGCTTTCAGGGCCTTACCCCTAAAAAAATTCCGTTTCGCTTGATTCCGATAGTTGTATTTAAGAGGAGAAAAACTAAACATACTTAACGTCATACGTCAATAAAATACATTTTTTTGTCAGTTGAAACTACTTAGACTTATTCTAATTCCATCATCACAATTAGTTTTTAATCAAATTTTATGTGAATAGTTGTTCTGGAGTAGTTGATCAAAAACTCACGTCTAGCCTTTAGAATCCTCTTAGGAAATACATCCTCTATAATAACATCTTTTCTTTTTGCTCCTGAACTATCTACTTGTGTGAAAATGTTACGCACTTTATTTCACCTGTAGAGAAATTACCGAGAAGCAGGGCCAAATCCCATATCGACTAAACTTCTAGATTCCCATCGCCATAGAAACAACAAACAATAACGCTCGGACAAGCAACACTGCATACTTCCTTCGAGTACGTCATTTACTGAATGTCTTGAACACAAAAGCTGTCATGGATCTGGAGGAGATTCTGACAAAGCTCGGCTGGGACGACGGTTTCCAAATACCCATCGCCAATGCCGAAAACAAGGCTTTAGAGGAGCAAGTCGCCAGACTATCTCTTCGAAAAACTAAAGCGAATAATGAACTAGACAGGGCCACTTCTAGGTTGGAAGGGCTTAAGGATCATATCAAGTACGTAGGCCAGGAAAATGATCAAAATCAGGTAAGTGCAGTTAGACACGTAAATATAAAATAATGAGTTTATTTACTAAATTAGATTGGTTCGTAAGAAACTGTAAAAATATACAGTGTTATGTTTCGTATCTCTACTCTACAGGGCAACCCAAGATAAAATGTACAAAGCTTACAGAAGTATTACTTAGGCCGTCAGGTCAGGTCATTTTAATGCCACAACTTTGATAAAACTGTCAAGCTTAAGGTTAGAATACTTTGGTAGCTTCTTTTCAGCAACTTTTCTTTTCTTTTTTTCGCAAAGGATGATTGATCAATTCAAAAATGATTCTTTCCCGGTTATTTTTACAATAAGTTGTTTCTAGTTTGTCCCTTTTCAATATGTCTATGTCTTTGTTCATTCAAACGTCAAAATTAAAATATCGAGTGTGATGCTATTGTCACGACATGCAATAAAGTTCAAAATACAAACAAATAATGCTTCAATTTAGAGAATAGTGTTTGGTTTTGCTGTAAAACAGAAAATTTGAACTTTTATTTAAAACAAATCAAAGAAGTTAACTTATAGAAGCTATAATGTACTTTAACCTTTAGATTATCACATTTGTTTAATAAAAATTTTGAGAGCAAACTTCAATACTTTGTTTTTACTGCAGTCGAATTTGAGCTTAAACTTAAAAAAAATATTAATAGACATTTTATTGGAGTTTATGGCGGGGAAGGGTATGTAGAATGATAATATCAAAAGACTAAATCAAAAGAAGCAACGCTAAATTGCCAAATTAGCGTTATAAACAAATTGTCCCAGGGTCAGGCAAAATCCGCTCGGGAATTCGCTCTTTTTGGATTAAATACAGCTTATTTTTGCGGTAATTTTTAAAAAAAGAGAGATCACCTACCCTTCTTTGTTCTCAAGATAACTTTTTTTTGATAATGTTAATTAGGTATTAATTAACTATAGGACGTATCGGACCGGGATTTTAGAGACTATTAAAGAAAGGATTGAACTTTTATTTTCAGAAAGTTTTACATTGATAGTTCATGTAATACACGCGCTAGCAGCAGTAAAAGTTAACGATAATGAACTGTCTGCACACGGGAGAAGGACCGCTGGGCCCGCGCATGCGCGTGAAGGTCGCTCCCGTCGCACGCGAGATTTTTGACTTGAACGTTTCAAATTCACTTAAAAAATCTTACGCGCGATCGAGGGCGGCGTTCACGAACGCGCGCGGGCCCGGTGCTCCACTAACAATATTCACAATAAAAGACACACGTTTCTGTAATGAAAACAAAGTATAATCTTATAATTGTTTTATTTAACTTTAACTTATTTATTTTGAAAAATTGAATTTACCACTTAATAATCTCTAGAAACTATTAATAAAACGAGACTTACCGTTTTAATAGATACATAAGTACAAATATTGTTTTTAATCGATTTTTAGTTTATATTAACTAATATCTGTCTATAAAAAATGCTGTTGATTTCTAATAAACTATTCTTCAATTATTTTATTCTGCACTAGTAGATGAGAAATTATTTGTTTGTTCGCTAGTTTCCCAGCACACATCTCACAAAACCTCTTTTTCAGAAACTCATCACTGCCCAGCGGCAACAGCTCGAAACCGCGGAGCACTACTACCACCTCACCAAAGCCGAGAAGACCAACGTCCAGAACGACTTGAAGAGGCTGATGAAAGAACTCCAGGAGCTGGAGCAGTTCCAGGAGGGAAAGAAGTCCGACCTGCAGAAGAACATGGCGAAAGCCGAAAAGCTAAAGACGGAAACGGAGTGGGACGCCGAAGCCCTGAAAGCCTGGGAGGAGACGCTGAAGAAGAGGGACGACGACATCGAGCTCGTCAAGAAGTTCTCCACGGAGGACGCGAGGAAGTACAACGACCTGGAGGCCAGGAGGCAGCTGTTGCAGGTGGAGAGCGACAGGAAGAGGAAGGCTTTGTTAAAGATCGTGGCCGAACTGCGTAATAATGAGATGGTCATTGATCGCACAGGTAAATGTTGATTCCTTCCTACCACGATTTAGGTATAGAACATTTTTTTTTCGTGTACTTCTAGTTATGTTTTAAGGACGTTCAGATTACTTGAAAAAGCTTGGAAAATATGTTCGTGTTTGATGCTGGTAAAATGTTCGTCTTCATCATCGTCGTCTTAATCTTTGTCATGATTATCATCATCATCATCATCATCATCATCACTGTTATCATCATCGTAATAGTTTCCTGATGCTCAGGCCACTTTGTTATGTTACAGGGAAAGCCCTTAAACAACAAGAAAAGGAACGCGACGACTTGGTGAAGCGGTGGAAGGAAGCGGTTAAAATGTTGCAGCGGCGCGACGAAGACGTGGTGAAGACTCAAGAACACATAATCGGCACTCAAGAACTCATTGAGAGGCATAAGGAAAAGTTAGACGAGGAAAACGTCTTCCTCAACAACGAGAAGAGGAACAACCACGAGCTCGACTTGGAAATGGAGAGTTTGAACGCCTTAAATTCGAGGTTGAGGAGGGACTGCGACGATTTAGCGCAGGACTTGCTGACAATGAACAGCGAGGTACGCGTACGCAGAGGTGTAACAGCGATAAACTTTTATGGCTGATCCCTTTCGTCAAAATAGACAAAAAGTCAAGAAACATTGAAGATATATTCGTTGATTCACAAAACTTCCTAGTCTATTAATTTGATAACGGAATATTTTGTAGAGCTCCCAGATGACGCCAAGACCTATGGAACTTTTTTCGTAATTGTAGATAACCTTGAAGACTGACGTCACATTAATAGGTATAGGTAGTAAGAGCTGATGGTTCACCCAATACTGCAACATGTGGCCTTATTGCATTGCTGTACATATCCTTTATGTGAAGAGGTTTGTTGTCTTCATCAGGTTTTGAAATCTCCTCACTAACTTTTGTCCATTATAAGGGTCCATAGGTACGTTGTATATAGATGTTTTCCCAGATTACTGTGATCAATTATCAAACCTGAACTATAATCTGCTTGATTTGACACTTGCTCAGTTTATTCGATGGGTTCTTGACCATAAATTTACTGTGTATATGCATCGGTATATATCTCCAATGCAACAGATGTTTTGATAGTCGAAAGCAGATTCAGGACCTATAAAAGTTATTGCAAATCTTTTCTTGCTAGGATATCTGCTTCTGCCGAATATTTCTTCATGCCCCGGCACCCATATAAGTATCACCCCATTGTGGGTAGCCAAAGAAACAACTTGGAGGCAGTCTCAGTCCTGAAATAATCTCTTATCTTGTCGAAGTCTTTATTGCTGTTTGGCTGTCGGAGATCTGTTTGCCTTTATATCCCCTTCTAGAAGGCATAACTCAATGGCATGTACTTCAGCTAGAAGTACAGTTGTGTTATTTCTCAAAGACACAAATCTTTGGAGTCCATGGCTTCCTACTTCAGGACCCTTATCCGTTTTGGATTCAACAGTATTGCTTATTTTATAGGGATCTATTTCCTTCATAATTGAGAACAGTTTCAAGTCGTTTGCGAATACTAAAAATTTACATTGGGATAAGCACCTGTTAACATTATTTAAAAATATGTTGCATATACAGTGGCCCCAAGTGTGACACACTTGGCTCATACTGTGTGAGCCTTGGTGCACATCTGACACCGCTGCTATTTTGTTATGGAAATGAAATTGCCGGATTTACACTTTACATAATCAAAAAAATCTTTCTATTATCATAATTCTCGGGCCAGGGGGTATGTGAATCACCCTATATACAGATATTATAGAGCACTGTGGAACATCCCTAACAAGTATAATTTTCCATATTGCAGCTCCAGGCCTTGAAGCGCGAAGTAGCGTCGAGCGCTCAACAACTGGAGAACGAAAGGCTGAAGCGGCGATTCGTGGCGGACACCATCCAGCAGACGGAGTCTAGATGTGTTAAATTCGAGGAGGACATAGAGAAGCTGATCCAGAAGCTGGAGGAGATGAAAGACTCCAACACGAGCTCGGCGGAGAAGCTCAGGAACATCGAGAAGATGGTGGACATGGAGGAGAAGCTGTACAACATCTACGTGTCCGACACGGAAAAAATCAACAGCCAACTGTACCGGAGCGACAAGGCGTACAAGGATCAAATCACGATCGGTAAATCGCTGGAGATGGAGGTTAGCAACACAACGCTGATCTGCACGCAGCTGCGGAAGAGGATTCGTTGCGAATCGACGGAGCTGGAGAAGTTCAAGGAGGTCGTTTACAACATGGTAATTTTTTTTGGTTTCTTCGTCAGGCACATAGTGCGTAACCTTTTTGGGAATGGAGACAAAAAAGAAAATAAACCACTGTTATATCAAACCGGATAGTGGTAAACAATGTTCAAAATACAATATTTTATCCTAAATATTTAAATAGATACACAAATATGTGAGAAATATTAAAAAAAAAACATATATTCAAAGGGAAAGTTCAGTAAAACGGAATATATTGTTAAATGCCCATATTTTTTTTAATATAGGTATGTCGAGAAAAATATTTTGTCTCCAATCTTAGAAATACTGTCTCCTCTGTAGAATTATCACTTTTTGAAACAATAAATATTGAATTACAGAATTCAATATTAATTTTTATTTTAGCAATACAGTACAGGCTGGTCCATTTTCGATGGGAATTCAGGGTATTTCAGAAACTATTAAAGATATGATAAATCTGACACCACGTTCTCGAGCTCGATTTTCATGGCAAACTCGACTGTCAGATCGGAAATTTGCTATCTTTATTTGTTTCTAAGTTACAGGGCGTTTCTCGTTATTGTAACATTTTTGAACATGTCTGTATCTCAGCTGTTAAATAAGTTAGAGTTAAAGTGAAAACTGCTCAAGCCTAATTCTTTGGCGTAGAATTGAATGCCGGTATTAGATTTTTAGTATTTCTTAAGATTCCGGAGTTATGACCCAAAGTTATATTTTTTAAATGGAAATCGTAGCTGGTTATGACCTAAAAAAATAGAGATTTTTTTCCGCTTTTCAGCAATTTATCACATGCTATAGTTATTTTTACAAACACGGGAGATACGGGGTGTTTTATATATAAATTATATTTTTTTTCCTTTTTAATATGACCGGCTATGAAAATACAGATAAAACTATAATTCTTACTTTTACAAAAGTCATATCTGTTGTAAAAATATGACATTTATTTTAAATGCACAACATATACTCGTGTGATAATATAATACTAACGAAATTTTAGGAGATAGGTGGATAGGAACAAACGGACCGATCAGATGGCCAGCTAGGTTACCTGATTTGAGTCCGTTGGACTTTTTCCTTTGAGGTTTTCTAAAAGACATTATATTTAAAATTCCTTTTAATAATATTTCAAATACCTATACATTTAATGAATGCTACCCGAAGCGTTGCCAGAAGATGCGTGAAATGTGTGACAGTTGAGGGACGGCAATTTGAACATTTAGCTATCATTTTTGAAAGTTTTTATTGATGTAGGTACTTACTATTGTTTAATTTACGTTTAATATTGTAACTTCAGTTGAAGTGGAATAAAAATTTGAAAACTCTGTCTTTTCTTATCTGTAATGTATATTTTAAATAAACGTCATATTTTTACAGATATGAGTTTTGTAAAAGTAAGAATTATAGTTGTGTATGTATTTTCATAGCCAGCCATATTAAAATGTAAAAAAGGATCGAATTTATATATAAAACACCCCGTATCTTCTGTGTTTGGAAAAATAACTATAGCATGTGGTATATTGCTGAAAAGCAAAAAAAAATCTCCATTTTTTTAGGTCATAACCAGCTACGATTTCCATTTAAAAAATTATAACTTTGGGTCATAACTCCGGAATCTTAAGACCTACTAAAAATCTAATACCGGCATTCAATTCTACGCCAAAGAATTAGTCTTGAGCAGTTTTCACTTTAACTCTAACTTATTTAACAGCTGAGATACAGACATGTTCAAAAGTGTCACAATAACGAGAAACGCCCTGTAACTCAGAAACAAATGAAGATAGCAAATTTCTGATTTGACAGTCGAGTTTGCCATGAAAATCGAGCTCGAGAACGTGGTGTCAGATTTATCATATCTTTAGTAGTTTCTGAGATACCCTGAAATCCCATCGAAATTGGACCAGCCTGTACACGATACAGATATTTTGGAACAAAAGCATGGTAACCATATCATTCTTTAGGGAACGATTTCTAGACTCGGAAGAACTTACATGAATAAAAAATTCCGGAAGAAAATTGTGAGGTAAAAAATTAAATTAAATTAGGTGTTGCCACTTTGAGCTCTTGAAAAGTGTTACACGTACAGGGTGATTCAGAACTTACCCAAAAAAAATTTTGAATGTACTAAACAGGGAATTCTTACAAATACAATTTTGTATAAGCAAAATCAAAAAAAGCTGTTCGAAGCTGATTTAAAAATACACTTCCGCACGACACTGGAAACTGGTCCACTGTAAAACGTGACCTTGCGCAAGGCAAAATATGCAGTCGGCGACTGGCACGGCCGCAAAGTGTAATAAAAAATGGACAAAAAATTTAAAAAAATTTATAACACCTATTTTATATCAACAAATTCACTGCTTTTGCCGCTATTGTTATTCTTAATGAATAAAATTGATTTATGGTTTTAATTAATAAAATAATTTGACATACCTGATGTTACAACAGCTGTTCAAAGTTTTGTCCGCTGACGTGTAAACACATTTGGGCCCATCTTACCCAGTTTCTACAAACTCACACAAATGTTGTCTTACTTCACCATAACACACATGTTGTCTAGCTTCATCATAAATTAAAACGATATCTATCAATTCCGAGTTGCTTTACATACGTAAGCTATTTTTGTCACGAAAAAAACTATTGTAAACACTAATGTAAATAAAATCGGATTATCGGATTTCAATATTCGGAATCGCTTGTGGCTACGTGGAGAATAGAATAGAATAGAATGCTTCTGATGACGCTAGAGACTACAGTAGACCAGCAACTTCAATAAATTTTTTCTCGGAAACTGTACGGATTTTACAAAAAAAATTTTTACGATATTGACTCCATATTTTATGACGCATCTATTTCCAAATTTTTTTTGGGTAAATTGTATATTTGCAAAAAATTTTTTTCGTAATCAAATGATAGATACAAATAGCCCTGTTTTTATTTTTCTGCTAATTCTCATTTTTCATAAAATTACATCATTATGAATTAGAAAATTTAATTTTGACAAAAATTTAAAAACAGGTGTTGTATCTATCAGTTGATTATGTGGAAAAATATTTTGCAAAAATACGTACAAATCTTTTCGAGATCTCATCATGAAAATTCTCCTTGTGAGCATAAAAATCATTCCTTAGAAAATGGTGCATATAAGTTCCAAACTTCATTATCAAAATATTACTTTTTACTCTTTTAATTTTTTCTTTGTTTGCAATTTAATGCAAATTGAAAATTCGAAAAATGTACTCTTCTAGAAAATTCATGGGATTAGAGAAATTGTATAAAATTTATTCTTTTAAGGACGATACAATAAAAGTTAAGTTTATTATTATTTTTTTTAAACCAATTTCCCAAACTGGACTTAAAATTGGCATGAGTTTTCATAAAGTTATTTATTATTAGAGTTTCAAGTTTCAATTGCAATTGCAATTGTCATTTTGATTTTATTTTTATAGATATAACTTTTGTTGTATGTATCAATACATTGTAGGAAAGTGGAATAAGATCCACTTCTTATTTGTGGAAGGGCGAAATGGACGTTGACTATTAGACGCCTTCATTATAGCCATCCTTGTCTATCACATGGATTTCTGTGGCTTACTTTATCGCTCTCATGTAACTTCTGATAGACCATCGGTACTTTCCTACCCTGTATATTGATATTATGTCGTTTTTCGAGAAAACGGCACATTATTTATCATTAAAAATGTCATATATATTACTAACAGTCTATCTAAAAATGCTTGCGAGATGAACGGCCTAATTATTTTGCAAACGCAGTAAAACAATAAAAAAATATGTTTAGTGTTAAAAGTAATTTCTGAACAAGTGGCACCGTTATTTAAGAAATTCGAAGACGCATTGATTATCTTATTGTTAATGATATTTCTAGCTTTGCCCTTAAGAATTTTAATTAGTACTTTACGGTATTGATGAAAAACAATGTAGATGATAGATACGAAAAACTGCAAAAATGTGTCTATATCTCCAAAATGAAATAAAAAAAATTATAATTTNTTACAACAGCTGTTCAAAGTTTTGTCCGCCGACGTGTAAACACATTTGGGCCCATCTTACCCAGTTTCTACAAACTCACACAAATGTTGTCTTACTTCACCATAACACACATGTTGTCTAGCTTCATCATAAATTAAAACGATATCTATCAATTCCGAGTTGCTTTACATACGTAAGCTATTTTTGTCACGAAAAAAACTATTGTAAACACTAATGTAAATAAAATCGGATTATCGGATTTCAATATTCGGAATCGCTTGTGGCTACGTGGAGAATAGAATAGAATAGAATGCTTCTGATGACGCTAGAGACTACAGTAGACCAGCAACTTCAATAAATTTTTTCTCGGAAACTGTACGGATTTTACAAAAAAAATTTTTACGATATTGACTCCATATTTTATGACGCATCTATTTCCAAATTTTTTTTGGGTAAATTGTATATTTGCAAAAAATTTTTTTCGTAATCAAATGATAGATACAAATAGCCCTGTTTTTATTTTTCTGCTAATTCTCATTTTTCATAAAATTACATCATTATGAATTAGAAAATTTAATTTTGACAAAAATTTAAAAACAGGTGTTGTATCTATCAGTTGATTATGTGGAAAAATATTTTGCAAAAATACGTACAAATCTTTTCGAGATCTCATCATGAAAATTCTCCTTGTGAGCATAAAAATCATTCCTTAGAAAATGGTGCATATAAGTTCCAAACTTCATTATCAAAATATTACTTTTTACTCTTTTAATTTTTTCTTTGTTTGCAATTTAATGCAAATTGAAAATTCGAAAAATGTACTCTTCTAGAAAATTCATGGGATTAGAGAAATTGTATAAAATTTATTCTTTTAAGGACGATACAATAAAAGTTAAGTTTATTATTATTTTTTTTAAACCAATTTCCCAAACTGGACTTAAAATTGGCATGAGTTTTCATAAAGTTATTTATTATTAGAGTTTCAAGTTTCAATTGCAATTGCAATTGTCATTTTGATTTTATTTTTATAGATATAACTTTTGTTGTATGTATCAATACATTGTAGGAAAGTGGAATAAGATCCACTTCTTATTTGTGGAAGGGCGAAATGGGCGTTGACTATTAGACGCCTTCATCACATGGATTTCTGTGGCTTACTTTATCGCTCTCATGTAACTTCTGTTAGACCATCGGTACTTTCCTACCCTGTATATTGATATTATGTCGTTTTTCGAGAAAACGGCACATTATTTATCATTAAAAATGTCATATATATTACTAACAGTCTATCTAAAAATGCTTGCGAGATGAACGGCCTAATTATTTTGCAAACGCAGTAAAACAATAAAAAAATATGTTTAGTGTTAAAAGTAATTTCTGAACAAGTGGCACCGTTATTTAAGAAATTCGAAGACGCATTGATTATCTTATTGTTAATGATATTTCTAGCTTTGCCCTTAAGAATTTTAATTAGTACTTTACGGTATTGATGAAAAACAATGTAGATGATAGATACGAAAAACTGCAAAAATGTGTCTTTATCTCCAAAATGAAATAAAAAAAATTATAATTTTCCAATTTATTTTTTTTTGTCGGAATGTTAAATGTATAAGGTGTTTCAGTCACTAATTTTAAGGGGAGATAGGGAAAAGTGAGTAGAATACGAATATGCTATTAAAAAAAATTAAATGCACATTTAAGTTGAAAAAAAAAAATAATATTTTCAAATAATTATTTCAACTCTTTTTCGGATCACTACTGATCGCTGACCCACAAAGGTTTATCGAGAGTGATCTTGACCTACCGTACTGTTCGATCAATAACCTAACTTTAATACCTATTCTTTACGTTTTCACTGTTTTATAAGTGAATATGAGTTTTTTTTAGGATCACGTGTTCAAGTAGGTAATTATTCGGTTTGTAGTACATATATAGGTACCTTATTGTGTTACTTATTACATTTCAGAGTTACATGGTACCTACTTATTTAAAATGACAAATACGGCTAAAAAACACTCAATCGTACATAAAGTTGAGATTGTGTATTAAAAAAATATGTATATTTATTCTCTTATAATGTCCTTCCCTCTCAGGAATTTCGAATCGATGAATTTGAAAAGAGACTCCTAGCTCTTGAATACGAAGCCATAGAAGACGACAACGCAGAAGAAAAGGAAAAGGCAATCCTGGAGTTAGAAGAGACCCTAACAAACCATAAGGCGGTAAGCTCATATTTGCTCTGATCAACACTTGTCCGCATTTTCCGCTTTACTTTCAGGTGCAGCACACCTTACAGATCCAAGTAGACAAGCTGCGAGAGGAGATGGGCAAACTGAATACAGCCATGGACATGGATAAAGAGCAACTGGCGTTCTTGAGGGATAAATGTGAGCAACACTTGCTCGAGAACGAGATCAGCAAGAAACATATCGCCGCTGCGAAGAAAGTAACTCAAGAGAAACAGGTCGAGGAGAACATGATGCGACTGAGGATCAACCACATCGAAAACGACATGAAAAAGGAGGACAAAATGATTTTCAACATGGAGAAACTCAGATTAAACTTAGATCAGGTAAAAACATACTGAGAAATGTGAATGCAGTGACAACTGAAAACGAAATAAAACTACTTTTAGGTGATGAGGGAGAGACAGCTGGAGATCAACACCAACAAAATGATTCTTCTAGCCAAACGTCGGAACCTGGACGAAGACAGGGGTAGACTGAAGACCGAAATCGCTCTGAGCCGGCTCAAAATAGAGCAGCATCAGAAGAAGTACCACATGTTTCTGTCGTCCCTGGGCCAAGACGAGGATGGTCAGCCCATATCAGTCACCAATTTCAGGATCAAGTATGCGCAGGAGAAGCTTATACTGCAGGAGGAAGGCGACCTTCTCGATCAGAAGATCAAGACGGCCGAAAAGGAGATAGTGGCTATGGAGAATACCCTGAAGATTGTGAACCTCACCAATGTCGCGTTCAAACGGAGCCTTGCCCCTATTAAAGATGACGGTAAAACTTATTTCTTATGTGTGCAATGGGTTATTAGAGTATGTTTATCATAAGCATAATATGTTCAACAGATGTTGCGGCTATAAGTCAATGCTGATCGGAGCATTAACCCGCATGGTAGTTGTTTCCGCAATATCCTCAGATAAATAATATCGAGGGATTTAAACTCGACTTAACTAAATCCCTTAACAACAGCCAGTCAAATTTGTCGTATCTTGGCAACCAAACTCAACTTAGTTAAATCTTAGTTAACTTCAAATACAAATATTTTTAGACCAGGAAGTGCAAGAGATGAAAGCTTTGGAGGAAGACCTGAACAAAACAAATAATACTCTGAGGGAATATAGGAAAAAATTAACCAGAATTAAAGAAGAACTACAAGGTAAGTATGTACTTTTTTCTCGTCGCATGGTTCTGCCACAAATATTACTAAATCACAACCAAATTTTGTTAAGAAAATTATTATTTATTTGTTTGTAATTTTAAAATGTAGCAATTTTGACAACGGTAATATTTTTTTCTGCTTTATTTATTTATGGTCATTATTTAGTTGGAAGGTGTTTAGCTTCTATTTTGACTTACATTTCACTTAAATACTTATATAAATAACGTAGCGAAATTCTGTTGCTTTATACTTATTATTTGTTTCATGATGTTTATAGAATATTTTTTGTTTCTTTCTATCATGGTCTTAGAAACCCATGGTTTCGTGAAACAAAGAAAAATACAGGGTGGTCCAGATTTTAATAGACAAACTTCGGGAAAGTACTAAACAACAAAAATCACTTTACTCATGAACTTGGGCGCAAAAAGCCACTGTTTATGAGATACAAACATAAAACATTTTTTTTAAATGTCTAAAAAAACGCTTCATTAAATTTATCCAAATTTGATACACATTTTTTTTCAAATATTTCTCCTAGTTCTGTATTTGTATAAATTTGATGAAGCGGTTTTCCCGATATTTAAAAAAATTGATTTATTTTTGTTAATTTTAACGCCCTGTAACGGTGGCTTTCTGCGCCTATATGCATAGATCTTCGGACTCCGGGTTTTTTTTGTTGCGGAAAAATCGTGATTTCATCATTTCCTGATTCCGTCCCTTTTTTTGACATCAATTATACAACGAAAACAATTTGTCTCCCTGATTGCATTTGCATAACCTTTTCTTTTTTTAGGCATCAATTATGTACAAACTGGCCATGTCTCCGGGTCTGTCACGAAATAGATCTGGTAACCCTATGCATTGAGCAAAGTGATGTTAATTTTGTTGTTTAGTACATTCCTGAAGTTTGTCTATTAAAATCTGGACCACCCTGTATATAAACGGACACGCTAATTCACGGGAGGAGTTATTTGAAAGGTTAAGTTAGCTTAGCTTACATTTTGTTATTGAGAAGTGTCAAAGTTGCCAAAGTTTGTAAACTGTTATTAAATTGTGCGAAATAAAGGAAATTAGGTACAATAAGTACATAAATTCTACATTTATCTAAATCTGGCATTTTTAAAATTGCTTATTTTTATCAAAAAAGTCAAAATAACTTTTGCATTACAAAATGATATTTTTTTTTCAGCAGCATGCATATTTTAACCCCTCCCCCCCATTAACTTTTTTGTCTTTAGTTATAAAAAAATGTGAAATACAAAAGTTGTACGATTTTTTATGAATTTTTCGAAAATGATAGTAGATAAACAAATGAAGTCCAAACAAAATGGCCGCGGATGTTAACTTTGTTAATTTAAATGGAACACCCTATATATTTTTAAATATTTGGATAGAACGTTCTCTGTCGAGCATAGTCATATAAGGTTTGTTGGATCCTTCTCTAGCAATAAACGAGATACCATTAAAAAAAGAAAAGAAGGTTTTTTATTAAGAAGATAAGATATCTTGTAATTGTTAGACTTCTTTGAAGCATTTCTTTCTTTTTTCCAGTTTCGTAAAGATTTACAGATTTACTTGTAATATACGAGTATTTTGACATATCGACCTTGTTTTCTTTTTTTAATAGTAGGCATCTGGCTTATTGTTAGAGATGGACCCAACAAATCCTAGGTATATGACTATGCTCGACAGAGAACGTTCTATCCAAATATTTAAAAATATACAGGGTGTTACATTTAAATTAACAAAGTTAACATCCGCAGCCATTTTGTTTGGACCTCATTTGTTTTTCTACTATCATTTTCGAAAAATTCATAAAAAATCGTGCAACCTTTGTATTTCACATTTTTTAATAACTCTTAAAACAAAAAAGTTATAGGAGAGGTCAAAATATAGTGAATCACCCTGTACCTAATGAATACAGAGTTTTTTTCGTATATTGTGCATATGGAACTATCTTAATTTGTATTGTATTGAAGATATTTAGATTTTTTATTACTTCAACGCATTTATTTAATAAAATATTCTTAAATTCTGCAATCTACTTCTTTACAACATGGCGGTGTTTGCTTTCATCTATGTAATCAGTTTTTATGTTGTTTGTGAAGTAGTTGATGCTGCATTATCTGTATTAGAGAAGTAATTTTCAGTTTTATTTGAACAAAATAATAAATCAACAGTATAATACAAATCAGTAAGGCGGTATTTGTTTACATCTGCATAATCTGTGTTTTCTATTCGTGAATCTGCTATAGATGTACATTTAATTACTTTTGCATGATGTGTTTTAGTGAAGTTTCAAATTTATTTGATATAAACTTGTAATTATTTAGCCTTAGAAATTTAAAATTCATAGTCCGTAGTCATAGACCCACAGAACAAGGAAAAATCTACTCCCTTTGAATATGGTCGACTTGCTCAAGGCCACCATTTTTTGTCCTTTTAAGCTTATTTGTAAAAAAGTATGTCCTTACTAATTTATATTATACCTTATACCATTAACTTCAAGGGGTGCTATTCTATCACTATTAGCAGTGGCAGATTAAGAGTTTCGTAGGTCTCAAGCACAGAGGTCATGTAGGCCCTCTGTTGCTTGGATTTGGAGGCTAGAAAATAAAACAAAGGAGAAGCGGTGAAACCACCTCAAAAATAATTATCTATAGAAGGCTCTATTTCAAATAGGCAACCAGCAATACATTTTTATAGATTTTATCACACAGTTTGTCTAAATATGAATTAATGTACAAATAACCAACTTTCCCCCATTTTAACGCAGATTTTCTGTAAAATGGACTTAGTTTGAAACTCAAATAGCTTTTTGGTGTAAATAAATTTGTAATTTACGATGCCGCTTGTTCAAAAGCAGCAAATTACAAATTTCTTTACAAGTAATTTGAGTCTCAAACTAACTCCATTTTATAGAAAATTTGCATTAGAATGGAGAAAAGTCTGTTATTTGAGCATTGATTCATATTTATACAAACTGTGTAATAAAATCTATAAAAATGTATTGCTGGTTGCCTATTTGCTATAGAGCCCTCTTAAGTATTCAGATTACTGGTCTTGAAAGCTATCAACCAACATTTTTTTTCATACTTGTAATAACTTTCCTTGTTTTTTTAATGTTACAAATTGAATAAAACTTTTGTCACCTATTCACCGCCCATTTTATCAACAGATATGAACATTATGTATTGTGTAATTGATAGATAGATTTTGGTTTAAAATTTGGCAGTGTTTACGGCCAATTTATCGAATAAAGTCGGACTATGATCTAACGAAATCAAATTGGTATGTGACGAGACACCTGATTGCTTAAATTGTTTAAACTTCTTTCGTTAAAATGACTGTTATTGATTTTAAGCATTACGAAACGAAATAAAAGTGAAAAACGACTTGGAAGAGCGAATGAAGGAAAGCGTGTCACAACTAGAGGACGAATTTGACATGATCCAGAAACAAGAAATGGATAAAGCGGAGAAACTGAAAAGAGCACAAGCCCAAATAAAAAAGTTGTTAAAGAAACTTGGCCAACGAGACATATCCAAGTACAACGTAAGTAAGTAAAAAGTTTAGATTGTTGTATTTTTGATATTTCTTAATTTCCAGAGGGATTTCGAGATAAAACTGATGAAAGTGGGGAACAAACTCGTTTTACAGAAGCTGATGGAGATGTGCGGACTGTACCCGGAGATAGGTCCGTTAGTAAACCGTTACATATCTGAACACAACATCTCCTTGCCGGAGAAGAAAGTTACCTGGAGCAGCAGCAATTCGTCCGGACGTATTTCGCACAGTTCCGGCTCCCCGAAGCAGCCGGTCACGCCGATTAGTTCCTCGACAAGCAGCGAACACAATGTAAAGAAAGTTAATCTGGCCCTGAATATATGAATATTATTTATTTCAAAGGACTTTTTACTGTTTGGTACTGTTTTTTAAATTCTACATGAATAAAAAATATGATACAATACATTTAACAAACGTTTTTATGACATTAATAAATTACATTTAAAATTTTCATTCCATTCCCGGAGGCAGGGGTTCGGATGCTGGAGGGGGCATGGAAATGTCTGTATCTAAAACCTGAAAGAAGAAATATGGAGTGTTAATCCAATCAGTCTGTCACGTCCTTATGTTAAATTTACAAAAAATACCACCTGGAAACAAAAAATGTGGTGATATAGAAAAAAAATTCTTAGAAAGGTAGTGTATTTTTCCTGAGGCACATAAACGGCGAAGTTAATCTAAAAAATTCATAAAAGTCAAAGAAACGGTTTTTCGCTAATAAAAAAAAAACTTGGAACTCCAATCGAAAAAAGTTAAATGAGAAAGTTGTAGCTATTAAAACTTATATTATTTATATTATTTTTTTTGCTGTACCTCTTGCAAATTAAGTTTTTGAAACTTGTTACTTGCTGTAAATGTAGCCCTCGGCAATCAAAAAAGTACCTTTTTTAAATTAAAAAATATTAAAAATTTTTCGAGTTATAACCATTTTTCAAAAAAAGGTCATCTCGAAAATCAGCTCTTCCTGCTCCATGAATAGTCGTAGAGAAACGAATCAGTGCTCATTTTTTCTCTTAAGAGTTGTACTTTCATGGTAAAAAGTGATAACGATTTTATTAATTTCAAGTGTCCAAAGATGACTAAAAAAAGTAAAAATTTTTTGCTCGCGTGTTTCTTCAATGTCTTTTTCGACTTTCATTTCTCGATAACGTCTATTAAAGGAATCGATTGCTGACATTTTTACACAAATTAAAAAAAAAACGTTGCTCTATGACCTTTTCTGAAGCCGAAATAATTTGTTTTTTTCAAAAAATTCCACAGGCCGATGTTTAAGTGATATAACGTCAATTCTTACGGATATTGAAGTTGAAGAATAAAAAATACTGTGGTTCATTTTAGCCACTTCTTTTTTTAATTGTGCGTCAAACCGAAGCATTTGAGCATGGCACGAGCTAACTGTAGGGGATGGGGGCGGAGTGGGGGTAACGATACTCGGCCGTTGAGAAAACTGAATTCGCGCGTTCAAAAACGGTCTTACTTTCAAAATCTTCATTATCTCGACTTCTGGACCACATATAAAAATCCCTTTGTACTTAATCTGGGGTAGTTCAACGAGATAAACCAAAATATGACGTTTACGACGGCCTAAAAAGCATAATTACCTTTGAAAAATGTAATTTTCCTTTAGTCTAAAATTCTCTCACCTCTTGTTAACATTTCAATAATTATTTATGAAACAAAGTAAGTACAAAGTTTTATGATAATTATAGGTATCTTTTTGTGATAAAAGTATTACAGAATATTTATTTAATTATCATACACAAAATTACGTGGTATAAAAATATTCGTCGATTACATTTTTTATTTTCACAACTTATGGAAGTACAGTAAAACCCCGCTTAACGCTGTTTCGTTTAGCGCTGTTTCGGTTTAGCGCTCTTTTATTTCAACCTGGGGATTCCCCGAAATTGCTCGCAGCACTACGGGATTCCCCGAAATTGTGCACAGCGCTAGGTTTCTAAATATGTACATAACCTATCCGAAACAGTGTAGTTGTGTTTCTTGTTTGGTGCGGTGCTGTACGGACGCATTTTTATCAGTTGAAACATTTGTCGACATTATTGTAAGTATAAATTTATATAATACTATAACGAATAATACAGTGACAAATATTATGACCTTTAGTTTTTATCATGGGTGATAATGAAATACAGAAAAGAAAGCAACCAGAAAAAGCATTTCACTGGAAACTAAAATGCAAGTGATTAGAAGATTAGATTCAGGTGAACGTCAATCTCAAATCAGTGCTACATTGAATTTAGAAAATGATCCAAATTTTGACAGGAGTTCAAAAGCAAGATGGGGTGTTATAGATGCTTTATGCACTTCTCAACAACTTCTAACAGAACGCAAAAGGAAAACGCAAACTACATTAGATGCCTTCTTGACAAAAAGGCAGAAAATTGGAAACACAGAATAGACTGAATGATCTGACTGACTAATATTCGTTTATATTGTTTTTATTTTTGTAAGAAATAAATGTTTGGTTTTATTTTTATTAAAAAAAAACATAATTATTAAATTTAATACCTAACCAATTTTCTGTCCATCTTCCCCTAACCCCATTATTTACATGTTAACATAGCCTCGTTTAGCGCTGTTTCGCATTACGCTCTACTTTGATGGAACGTATCCTACGCGTTAAGCGGGGTCTTACTGTATATCACTCTTATATCACTATTCCCTCGATTGTGATTCATTTTCTTCTTCTTCCATGCTTTCGTTTCCTATATTTTCCACGCAATCAACTTCATTTTCCAAATAATTTGTTGCACCAATGAGTGATTCGAGTAAATTCGTAATTATGCTTTTGAGACTGTCGTAAACATTATATTTTGTTTTATCTCGTCAAGCTATCCCAAATTAAGTACAAATGAATTTTTGTACGTGGTCCAGAAGTCGAGATAAGGAAGATTTTGAAAGTATGAGCGCTTTTGAACGCGCGAATTCAATTTTCGGAGCGGCCAAGTAGCGTTACCCCCACTTCGCCACCCGCTACAGTTAGCTCGCGCCGCATTTGAATGTTTCGGTTCGACGCACAATTAAAAATGCAGAAGTGGCTAAAATAAACCACATTTTTTATTCTTCCGCTTCAATCTCTGTAAGAACAGACGTTGTAGCACTTAAATAGTGGCCTGTGGAATTTTTTGAAAAAAAAAAAAATTATCTCGGCTCCAGGTCGTAGAGCAACGCTTTTTTAAAAAAAAATTGTGTAAAAATGCCAGCAATCGATTCCTGTAATAAACATTATCGAGAAATGAAAATCGAAAAGAATATTTAAGAAAAACGCGACCAAAAAATTTTTACTTTTTTCAAAATCAACTTTAGACACTTGATATGAATAAATTCATTATCACTCTTTTTTACCATGAAAGTATAACTCTTAAGAAAAAAAATTAGCCCTGATTCATTTCTCTACAACTATTCGTCGAGCAAGAAGAGACAATTTTCGAGATAACCTTTTTTTTGAAAAATTGTTATAACTCGAAAAATTTGTAATATTTTTAAATTTTAAAAAAGGTACTTTTTTGCTTGCCGAGGGCTATATTTACAGCAACAAGTCTCAAAACCTTAATGTGCAAGAAATACTGCAAAAACAAAAAAAGTCGATTTTTGACGGTTTTTTCGATATATCGCGAAAAGTAATACAGCAATTGATATATTTAAAAACACAAATCGATAGGTTTTTTTTATAGGTAAAACTTTCTCATTTAACTTTTTTCGATTGGAGTTCAAATTTTTTTTTTTTATTAGCAAAAAACCGTTTCTTTGACTTTTATGAATTTTTAGGTTAACTTCGCCGTTTATGCGTTACAGGAAAAATACACTATCCTTTTTAAAATTTTTTTCCTATATCACCCTATTTTTTGTTTCCAGGTGGTATTTTCTGTAAGCTCTTCTACCTATTGATACAGAAACGCAGATCGAGTCGTTAATGCAATTTTTCAAATATTAAAGTTCGCGACTAACACTCAGTATAAACATTTTAAATATAAAAATAAATCGCTCACCAGGACGTCAGTTTGTGGCACGGCGGAAGGCTGTACCGCACCAGGCACGGGCACAGTGAAAGGCCCCAAAACTGTTTCCTGCGTCGCCGCCGGAATATGTGCCCTTTGGGCTTCTGTGAACGTCAGCAGATGTTCACGAAGGGGTTCCCGCAACTCAGAACAAATGTTCAGGGCCTCGGTGAGTTGCGGCGTCGGCAACTGCATGAGAACGGCGAAGCTCTGAGGCTTCGTCCTCTGACAGCACTTTATGAAGCCCTCCCAAACGACTTTTTGTTTCCAGACCTTAAAAAAAAGGGAAATATTTCAGAAACAGGGTTATCTGTTAGTAATTCGCCAAACATCAGCAATAGATTTTTCAATGGAAATTGAGTGGGGTAGTCGATATTGGACGAGTCGTAAGCGTGGACATACAATCGCCCTAATTGCAAGTTGCGGTTTTTTTAAACATGTTAGTGTAACCATTTTTACTCCAAAAAATATATCAGTTCCACATACACAGAATATTGGAACACCCTGTACAAACATACTGCAATTACTCACCTTCTTCAAGATTAACCTCTGTAGGATATTCATGACGAAACCAGAGAGCCTCGGATAACTGGTCAAAGCCTGTATGACCGTCCTCATCAACAGTGTGGGCAGGGGCGTCTGATCCATCAGTTGCTGCAAGACGACCGCCAGAACTTCTTGAGTGAACACCTGTTTCTCCTGCAGACACATTGACGTCGCCTTCATGACAGTCTTAAGGTCCGCTTTATCGGCATTTATCAAATGCAGGGAGACCAGTAGGTCGGTTGGGGTGATGGGGCTATCCCCGTGGAAGCCCAGAAGCCTGTTAAAAACTTCTTTCACGACCACCGGGTTCAGTTTAATTAATTTCGGCAAAGCAGATATTACCTGTAAACAAAAAAATAGTGGAACTGTAAAGCCCATTTGAAAAAAACTCGAGTTGAAGGACCTAGAAAATGCTGTCTAGTTCTGAAATTTCCTGTTCGGTTAGATTGTTTCTTGTTCAGTTTATTGCTCAAGCCACAACACGCAATAAAATAATAGACATTTTTATTATAAAAAAATTTCAATGTCAATATCAACGCAATATAGAAAATCGATTTTTTCCTTATAACTTCTTGTTTCTCATTAAATTTGGATAAGTTTTGGTCAAAGGTTATGTGAAATAGTGCTATTTCTACTAATGAACTTAATATACAGTATAGACTCTTTAATCCGAACTAATTAAAACACGGGCTTAAAGAGATAAGTTCGAATTACCGATATTTTCGTATTACAGGATAGTAAACATGTACATATGTAAATATGTTTATGTACATACATATAATATGAATTAGATTTTATGTGTTACTGAGAAGGCAAAAAATAACAATAAAACCAAACATTATCGTAAAATATGTCCTATAAATATCGACATGTTTGCACGGCAATAATATTTGAACTAAAAAGATCTAATCGAGAAAAGTTCCGGCTTGCATAAAAGGGTTTCCTCGAGACTACCGGGGAATTATGTTTTTAGCTGTTACTTTTTATTATGTAGTCTGACTTTATAATCCGAACTGTATACGTTAATTCGAATTTTGCTCGAATTAAAGAATTTTGTTCGAACCATCGAAACGGGTATTCGTCGGGTCGTCGGGCTGGATTACTGGATATTCGGATTAAGGTGAGTTCGGATTAAAGAGTCTACACTGTATTTATTTTATATCATTTTGCCGAATAAAAATAACTAATTTTTGTTTTTGTGTATTTGTTACTCTTAAGATGCAACGTTAAATACTTTTATTTCAAAAATGGTTCATTATATCATCATCAAAACAGTTGTTCACTGAAAAATAGTACCAGATCATAAAAAACAGTGAATAAAACTGTAAAAGCCTATATTTTTTTTTTGGTGGTAGTCTTACTGAGGCGCTCTGCCCTCAGGTCTCCAAAATAGCTGTCAATTAATTAAATGCATTAATGGAAATAATTTTTGAATTAAAAATATCCAAATTTAAAGAAAAATTAAAAAATTATAATGAAAAATTGATTTCCAATTCTCAAGACTTCGAGATCTAATAAGTCTGCAGATTGAGCCTTAAGAAAAAAATATATAAACTTATGACATTATTTCTCCTATCTAAATTTTACTATTTTTTTTATACAGGGTGTCTCATAATTAGCGTTCAATAATTTACCATTTGATTCTATATTGCCAAAACTAAGAATATTTTTTTCATATAAACATTGGTCAAGAAATGGTTCCTAAGGGAGCTACACTCAAAAAATTAATTTTTTTTAAATATTTCTGAAACGGGTTGAAGGAAAATTATGAATTTTGACACCATGAACGCTCATTGAAAGTCGAAGTAGATCATCATAAAATTTTTTCGATCGGGGGCGACTCAATTGGGGGGTTCGTTAACTAAAATTTGACCCAATTTTTTTGCTTGTCGAAATTTTCAAATTCAGAGGCCAACATATGATAGACCTGCATTTCCTCTACAAAAAAGGTACTCTTTATTTATTTCGATAAAATGCTCCATTTCCAAGAAAAATGGATTTAAGTGCTTAGAAAAGCACACTTTGGGAAGTGGTATAACATATTCAAACCGATTTCTTCTCGAAAACGGATTACTTTTTCGATATAAAACAACATTACCATTTTTTATCTAACAAATTTTGAATTTGAAAGTAGCAACATGTAAAAAATTTGGAGCATTTTATTGAAAGAATTAGAGTACCTTTTTTGTACAGGAAATTAGGGTCTATCATATGTTAGCATCTGAATTTGAAAATTTCAACAAGCAAAAAAATTGAGGCAAATTTTAACGACAACCCACCCAATTGAGACGCCCCTGACTAAACTTTTTGAAAAATTTTATGATCTATTTCGACTTTTAATCGGCATTCACGATGTCAAAATTTATAATTTTTCTTCAACCCATTTCAGAAATATTAAAAAAAAATGAATTTTTTGAGGCCCCATTTAGGGGGGCATAGCTCCCTTAGGAAGCATTTCTCCACCAGTATATGAAAAAAATATTCTTATTCTTGGCAATAGAATCAAATGGTAAATTATTGGACACTAATTATGAGACACCCTGTATAAGTTTTATTTTTTTTGCTCATTGTGGCGAGGCACATTTGATAATTGGATACACTAACATCAGGCTAATCATATGACGACAAAAATTCGGTAAAATAGTGCAATTGAAAACTTTATTAAAACAAAGTCTTCATTTATAAAGGGTGTTTCTTAATAACGTGCTAATATTTAAGGAGGTTATTCTTGGGTCCATTTTAAGAAAAAATCTTCATATGTTTTAACTTTTGAACTACAGGGTGCTAAAGTTTTATGAAAATACATTTTTTTATGACAACTTTGGTATTACCCTAGATATTTTTTCAAATGTGGTACACGCCTTCTATTCATCGAGATGCACTTTCTGATGTTCAAACAATTTTATTATTTTTGCTAGTAGCGTCTGTACAGGTTTTGTATTGAATATTTTTGAAGAAAAATATGTTACGCCAGGGTAATTTTCTTTTACCATTCCAAAATGTATGAAGATTACTGTAATTTCACAATTTCAATGTTTAAGTTATTATCTTAAATAAATTATGATTTAAAGTTACATAAATCTTATTTTTTTCTCGTAGGTGGTCTAATAAGATGCAAATGAATGAATTTTATTTTTTTATGCGAAAACCGTACGTCAAACGAAAAAAATTCAAGACACCACATTTGTTCAGAAAGGAATGACGATTACAAAAATGATTTTTACTTTGAGAAAAGGCAGTGGCGTAACATATTTTTCTTCAAAAATATTCAGTACAAAACCTGTACAGACACCACTGGCAAAAATAATAAAATTGTTTGTACATCAGAAAATGCATCTCGATGAATAGAAGGTGTGTACCAAATTTGAAAAAATATCTAGGGTAGGTAATACCAAAGTTATCATAAAAAAATGTTTTTCCATAACACTTTAGCACCCTGTAGTTCAAAAGTTAAGAGTTTTAGGACATACATATGTTCATATAACATATGTTCATATGAAGTTTTTTCCTTAAAAATGACCCAAGAATAACCTTATTAAATATTAGCACGTTATTAAGAAATACCCTGTATATCGACCACATTACCAAAAAAAAATGGGTTGATCCACAATCTAAAATCAGAATTCTCATATTAGCTTGTTTACGACTCAGCCTACCTTTATTTTTGTGGCGCTGTGTTATAACCTACAAAAATAAATGCCTGCCTCTGCCTAAGAATAAATTTCAAAGGTCATTCAACTCTCAAACATTTTTAGATAAACTATAGCTGTTTCTAATAAATCCAGACTTACCTCCTGCTTCGTCAACCCATTTAGTACGGGAATAAGGAACCTTACATCAGACACCCTGCTATTGTACAGATCCCTCACCCTCTGCACCAACTGTGCACTCGGGGGCCCCTTATCCGTCAGGATATGTATAACCCTCGTCACCAAAGTTTCCGATCCTTTCGGACTTTCCTCGACCAACTTCAGGAGGTCCGGCGAATCCATTCCCATGATCCTAACGGGGTTTTCTATTAAACGTAAAATGATACGTTTGATATCGGCACTAGTCTGAACGTATATCTTCGCTAAATCATGAATCAGACTTCCGTTGGCCTGTAAAAGTGACACGTAAGGCAAAAGCGACGCTTTGATGAAATCGTCGGTCCAGACTTCACTTTTCATTCGACCCTGATCCACTCCACACAGACTCTCGGGCGGTTTGAGCAGCTTTAAAAACTCCAGGTTCATCCTTGCAAACTCCTCTATGACCAATTTCAATTCGGGTCTCTTGTGGAGTTCAAGGACGTGCCCTATAGCATGATCTCTGACAACGTTCGATTCGTAAGTCGTGTAACACAGTAGAGCGTTGAGAAACGTTAACTGTTTAGGCGGTTTTCTGACAGTGAGGTCCCTCAAGAGGCCTAAAGCCCAACCCGACCTGCGTTCGTCGCGACATACGGTCTTGATTTCATGTAACGCCTCGTCGGTGACCATGGGCGCTTCGAGGAGTAAACGAGAGAGGATAAGGGCGTCACTGGAACTTATGCTGATGAAGCTGCATAGCAAGAGGTTGTAACTGTCGTCTATTTTGCCTTCTCGGCGAAGCGGAGGTACCCTAGCAAATCCCTGCGAACCAGTAATATATTTAGCGAGTTACATAAAACGTTTATCCCGTTTGATATAACTCTCTAAATATGTAAATCTCATTTATATTCTTTCTTAGTACAGGTCCTAAACAAACTTGCCTACCTGCACTACGAAAATTTAATTCATCCCTACAAATTATTGCAATTTTGAAGAATATTAACAAGTCAAGAATGCTTACGGCAGATTTAAAAATGATTGCATTATACCGTTTCAAAACAGATTATAACAAATTAATTGAACAGTTACCTGCATAATGCTATATTCCTCAAATAACCAGGCCAGGGCAGTATCCACGTAACTTCTAAGATCGGACATCAAATAAGCCAGGACAGTGTCTCTGACGGTTTTATTAAAACACGTCGCCAACGTAGTGATAACTTTTTGATGTAACAGTTTATTTTGGTACTTGTCGTGATACAGTAACCGATTTACTGAACCTATTAGTAGTCTCTGCTTAACGTCCTTCTCTAAAGGCTTGGTTATTTCCGACAACTTCAAGGTTTTTAACCTCTGAACTTTTACTTTTTCCTTTCTTGGCTGCTAAAAACAAAAAAGTAATACAAAGATTATGAGCGGACCAAACTAACCTTCTCTTTTTCATCCTTTGTTTCTTCAGACTCTCGTTCTCGTTTTTTACTATTCGTTTCGGGGGTCCGTTCTTTCACGACTACCTTAGCCCCAGGCCCGACACGGGCCTCTGTAAATTGCTCAGCCAAGACGTTTGCCAGTGGCATTTTTCCAACATTACCTCCTTTAAAATACTTCTGGTAATCTGCCACAAAGTTAGGGGGAATAGTGTTTGGCAGTTTCGGAATGTGAGTAAAAATGAGATACACGGCTTTTTCAAGAGTTAGATTTTCTAAAATGAAGTGTTCGTTTGCTTCTTGCGGAGTATCGAATTGACTGTCATTGGTATCGTCTAGTTCAAATGATGAAGCTTCCAAACGAGGTTTCTTGACAATCTGTTGGACGGATGATTCCGTGGACAAAGTACGTTTGTTGTATTTCTTACGATCTTCGAGTTTAGGTATCAGTTTAGCAATATCTTGTTGAGTACACCCTAAAATGTAACATCGAAACAATTATTTAGCTACACAATGGAATACACAACATACCTAAATCCACCAGCATTACAGAAATCCGGGTGACATAATCAAAGGCTGCGGGGTGTTTTATTAACGCTGTCAATTCAGTTTTGAGCTTTTTTTTGACCGAACTTACTTGCGTGGTAGTCAGCGTTGGCGGTAAATTGTTAAATAATGATTCAATGGCTGACACTACCCTAACCATAAACTCGGCCCTACTCTTGGCAATATTTGTTAAAACTCCGATGCAGGCAAGCAAATTTGCACTACTGATATGCGGCGAACCGTGGAATTTCACTAATACTTCAAATAAATTACTGAAAAATTTACAATGTAAACCACATATTTAATTATAATTATATAAATAAATACCTCGCTTCTTCTTCCAATTTGCGTCGTCTTGCAATTTTTAAAGTCAGTGGGACATCGTCTAAAGAAAAATCATTGGGTCTTTTATTTTCTGCTTCATCGGGATAAGTTTGAAGAAGGACTACACATTCTAGAAATTTCACTGAACTCGTTCTTATGCCATCATTATCGCTATCTATCATATTAGCTATTTCTAACTTAATTGCACATAATTGCTTCCAAGCCTCCTCCATTTCGTCGGTAACAGAAGATGCCCTACATAGCCAAGATAACGTTCTGCGGTAAATAGTAATTGTAGCTTGTATGACACGTTTTTGTACTGGTATAGATTCGTCGCACAACAGCATGTGTAAATTCAACATAACTTTAGGTATTAAGGATTCCCTCACCTTACTGAAAATAAAAAAAATTCATAAAACTATTCATTTTTAAACATAAGGATTTTACCATAATTCTTCAATGAAACCTACTAGGGCTTTCTTTACATCAGCACTTCTATCGGTAGTAAAATTTAAAACGTTTTGAAGATATTTTGAGAGCAAATTGGGAGATTTACGAAGCAATGTTTCTTTAATCTTAAAGAAATTGGAAAGTCTTTCGGAAGAATCTTGAGAAAGAGCTGCATTGTTTAGATATTGCGTTACCTATAAATATGTAAAAGTATGAAAATAAGTTGATAAAATGAAGAAGAGATAAATGTACCAACTCCTCATCAGATACATCATCCATATAATCCATTTTGAAAACGGCAATAAATAAAATTAATTAACACTCGAATACATTAACATCTCTCTCATAAACCAAAAAACTTAACCTAACTCAAAATTGAAATTAAAAATAACAGATGGCAGCCTCATTGAACAGTAGCCAATAGTGGAATTGCACAGACTCACAGTGCCAGAAAAAAAAACAAATACCAGTGGCACCAATATGAATATTATGAATAACAAAAAATCTCTATACATGTAAAATGTATTTGTTGAAAATTCTATGTAAAATTTTATATGCAAAACCCTGATTCCCTGATAACAAAATTAAAAATTTTGACAACCTACGTCAAAATGTGTTGATGTGTTAAAGTTTATGTGATTTTTAGAATGTTGTAGAAATAAGTTTAAAGATATAGCACCCAGCAAATTTATTAAGGCTTTAAAATGGACACTAGCATTTCAAACGAGGCGAAAAAGTCAAATTTGGAAGAATTATCTAGAGAAGAACTTTTAAAAAAGTGCAAAGGCCTGTTAACCATAGCCCAAAAAGCTAAACATGCCAAAGACTTATTACAAGAAGAAAATACTAAGTTGAAACAGGAAATAATTAACAAAAGTAAAAATGACGTATCAGAAGAACTCGTAGAAAGTTTGACCCAGCAAAAATTGTCGTTAGTTAACACAATCGAAGATTTAAAAGCACGAAACAGTTCTTTAGATAGCAAACTACAAATTTTTGAAAAGGAGTTACAAACATGCCAAGAAAAGTTAAATACAGCAGACAACGAAAGTGTATCTTATAAGAGGCAAGTGACAAGATTAACAGATGAAAATGAACAACTCATAACACATTTAGATTCATTAGAAAAACAAATCGAAGAGCTAAACAAAATTGGTATTCAGCAAAGACAACAGTTGTTAGAGTTGGAATCTAATGCTAAGGATAATAAGAATGTTATCGACGAAAACAAGATTACAGAATTGCAGTGTATGTTGAGTGTTAGTTTAGAAGAAGTGAAAAAATTAAAGAATGAAAATATTAGTTTAAATGAAAAAGTTGATAACTTGAATGTCAGTCTGTCAGAAAAAAATAAAAACATTTTATTAATAAGTGATGAACTCAAATCAAAATGTGATATTTTAAATAAAGTAACTTTGGAAGTAAATGAATTGCAAAGCATGAAAGAGGCTAGAAACGGAATTTTAGAAGATTATGAGAAACTTAAAACTCAATGTATAGAATTATATGAAACCAACAAATTACTTCGGAAAGAAAACGGAATTAACAAACAACTTGAGAAAAAAATTATGGAATTAGAAAAACATGGTGATAGACTAAAAGAGAAGTTAAAATTATACCACTCAAAAATTACTAAATTTGCTGGTAGTGCAAGAGCTCTAAAAGAAGAAAAAAATGCAATATTACAGCTATTCAAACAGTATACGGATCAAGTGAAAGAATGGAAAGAACAATTGAACCATGCATCAAGAAATCTGGTTTCGCATGTAAATGTAATTGAGTCGGAAAACGAAAAATTAAAACAAGACATTATATACCTTAAAGAAGAAGATAATAATCGTCAATTAGATCAAGAAACAAATTTAAAACATGAATTTAATGAAACTATAGCAGATTACGAATCACGGCTGAAAACATTAAAAGTGGAAAACGAAGCCGAAATTAACATTATAAAGAACAAGTTGCAAGATGCTACAAAAATCATTGACGAATATAAAAATCAAATAGAAATTTTAAACACTGAAAAAGAAGATATCAATAGAAACTTGAATTCTCAAAGAGATATAAATAAAACTCTTGCAGAAGAATTTGCGTCAATAAAAGGTGAAAGCGATAAACTTATTATGGAGTTAAATGAATTTAAAATAAATAATTCAAATTTGAGTAATCAAACGCAAAGTCTTTTGAGTTCAAATGAAGAACTGAAACATCAAATAGATCTATTGACTAGTGAAAAGAAAAGTATTAATATTATTATTAAAGAAAATGATGCAACAAAGAAAAAACAGTTAGAAGACTATCAAAATAAATTATTAGAAAGTGAAAAACACGTAAGTGACCTTCAAATACAGTTAAGAAAATACGAAGATGATGAGAAGAAACTAGCCGAAAGATCAAGTGAAGAAATCATGAAACTTGTTGAAGAAAGTAGGGTATTGACTGAGTTAAATATTACCTTGCAAGAAAAAGTGGACGAATTTGAAAAGAAACGATTAAACTTGTCTAACAGTGAAGTTCAAACCGGTGATGATCTGATCCCGGCCAACGAATTAGATCAGGTAGCCAACTTGAAGAGAGAAAATACAGAATTATTGTCCGAGATGAACGAAATGAACCAAGCCCTTAAAGAAAGGGGCGAAAACATATCAAAACTGGAAGCCCACTGTGAGGAAATTATGAAGAAACTACAGATTTACGAAACTCAAGCTAACAAAAACGTGGACAGTATTAGTGAAAAGGAGGAGATTATTAAAAGTTTAACAGAAGAGGTCAATTCACTTAGAAAAAGTGTCAATAATTCTGGTAACGGAAATGTTGACCCTTTGAAAGAAGAAGAAATTAACAGACTGAAAAATGAAATAGAAAACCTCAAAGAAAAACTGAACTCTAATCTTGAAACGAGTTATGCTGAGAGTGAAACCATGTCGACTTCTACCGTTTCTAGAACAGAAGACATCAACAGGCTGAGAGATTTAGAAGGCTCTTGGGAAGAACGATATGGAAAATTAAGAAACTTGGCTATAAAACTAAAAGGAAAAATTAGGGAACTCTCAAACACACTAACGAAAGAACAGACAGAAAAAGACGACTTGCAGAAAAAGTTGGCAGCAAATCTAAAAACCATTCAGACATTACAAAACCAATCAGACAAATTACAGGATGACCTAGAGAACAGCAAACAAGAGTGTAAGCAATACTTGAACCGTCTGAATACTATAGCAGAGGATATCTCCAAAGATAAGCAATCACTCGTAAGCAAAGACGATATTATAAGCGACTTGAAGAAGGAAGTCGACACTTTAAAAACAGAGAAGCAATCAACCGAAAACTGGAAGAAACAAGTAAGCGCAAAAGTACAAACATTGCGCAAAGAATTGGAGGCTAACAACTTGCTGAAAAAAGACTTTGAAAACAAAACTACTAAGCTCACCGCAGACCTAGAGGCGAAAGAACAAGCTTTGAAAGCCGAGGTGGAAAGTCACAAGCAGACAAAAAGTTTGTTAGATGCATCAAATAATGAATGCAAGAAAAACTCTGTGCTTAGTCTGGAAATGCAGGATTATGAACGCAGTGTGAAGGAAACCGCCAAGAAACTGGAAAAACAACAGGAGCAAATAACAAAATGGAAAGGACAAGTGGAATCACAAAAAGGTACCATCAATGCCTTAAGAGAACAGAATAAAATGTTGGAAGAACGAGTCCAAGTGATGGAAGAGAATTTAAATTCCGCCACATCAGAAGTCAACACTTACAAGAAGAAGGTTACTCAGTTAGAAGAAGAAATCCAACAAAAAGAAGAGAAAATTCTGAGTATCAACCAACAACTCGAGACTTCTCGGTCTGAAACTGAAGAACTATCCACCGAACTTTCCAAAGTCATAGCAGAACACCAGAAGACGAATAATATCCTCAAAAATGAAAGAGATCTTCTACGTAGTCAAACTTTAGGCCTCCAACAGAACTTGAGGGAAGCCCAGGATACCCTCAAGCTTAAAGAAGACGAATTGTTGGTTATTCGCAGCGAATACGAAAGTTACAAAGTTAGGGCGCAAAGCGTATTAAGGCAGAACCAAAACAGAGATGTGGGAATAGAAGAAAAGCTCACCGAAGAAGTGGCTAGTCTGAAGGTGCAGAACTCCCAGTTGACCAGTGAATTAGAAAAAACTGCGTAAGTGTAAAGAATAACTAATTATGTACATACTTTAATTGAGATTTCATGACCATATTCTTATCGCTTTTTACTTCTAGAGAGGAAATAAAACTATTGGAAGAAGCAAATGAGAAATTGGTCATAGAGAAGGGGGAAAATTTGAAGAAAATCCAAGAATTAGAGACAGATATCGAAGAGATGAAATCGCAGTTCGCTCAGTTGTCTGCCAAGCATCAGACAGCTTTGAATGAGCACACAGAGACAGTTAGGAGCCTGAAAGTAAGTTATTATTTTTTTTATTGTACATTATATGTTAAAATATTTACAAAATATAAAAAATTTCATAAATCTGGAAGTACAGGGAAATGTCAATAAGTTTTGTGAATTTTCCTGGATTTTTTATTCTGTTTGGTCTTTATTTACAAGAACGTCCCACTGGATGACACTAAATTATTCGGTTAACATTCCCATTCCCCCTTTTATTATATACAGGGTGTCCTCAAAATTAGAACAAAGTTCCTATAAACATGCATCGGAAGATGCATAGTTTTTACAATTGTAATTCCTCGTGTAATTCCTCATAATTGATTCCAAAATAATTAAAATTAAATGGAAATGGAAATTTATATAATTATTAAGTTTTTATCATTTGGATGGCAAGAATTTTACCTCATTTTTCTTGATATTGTTGACATTTTTTTACTTTTTCAGGCTAAAATTGAAGAAAGTTTGTATTTTTCTTTTATACAAAAATTATCTAGTTTTTTATGTAAATTACAATACGACGCGATAAGTCTATTTGTTTCTTAATAATATTTCAGAGAAAAAAACTCGGAAATTATTCCTTTTGAAATGAAATCAAAAAAATCTCTTTTCATTGTACAATAGCAGATCAAATAAACTTACAAAATTTTCTATTACGTCGAATTACTGAGGTTCTTAGTAATGGTGTCCCTCAGTATTTCTACCACTGATTTATACAGGGTGATTCAGAACTTATCAAAAAAAAAATAAAAATTCTGAATGTACAGGGGACCCTTACAAATACAATTTTGTAAAGAAGAAATCAAAAAGGGCAGTTCAAAAATGATTTAAAAATACACTCCGAGTTGCTATACATGCAAACCATTTTTGACACTAACTACTAAAAAACTATTGTAAACACCACAGATAACAGGTAAACACTATCGCAACGACGATTGCAAAATCGGATTTCAGTATTCGGAGTCGCTGAGGCCACGTGGCTCTCTACGCGTATTGCGAATGACGCTAGAGGCTACAGTTGTACAGCTATGTAGTGGTTGAATGTACTCTAACTTCAATTATTTTTTTCTTGGAAACTATAAGGATTTTACAAAATGTTTTTTTACTATATTGACTCCATTTCTCATGCCGCATCTATTCCCAAAGTTATTTGGATAAGTTCTAAATCACCCTGTATAATAAAATTCAGTGAATTTATACCTTTATTTAGTTAAGTCATCAGTCCAATTCTCATTAATCTACTTCAAATATCTTTCGAAATATTTGTGTATTGCGTAAGTAAATAGCAAATGCTAACAGCTTTTTCCCTGAAAAAAAAAAAAAATATATATACATATTTATGTGACACATATATTAAAAACAGCAATTTAAAATGCTATGCTGTTTATTATGTTTATGGACATAACAGTTGTTTTGAGCATTCCTTTAAATGTTTTTCACATACATATCATCCTTGCACTTTCACAATACGATATGTGCATTTATTCAGCAAAAGCTTTAAGTGCAGAATTTTTCGATAAACGACATCAAACTGCATAAGCTGATTAACAACAGTCATCTTATTTTCTACAGAATTGTGACTGTCCGCAGTAAAATAAAAAATAATTGTTGTAATTATTAAATGAAAAAGTCCAAGAAACAGTTTTTTAACTCCACTGAACAATTTGATAAAATACACATGTTGTATTTTGAAGGTGCAACGATGATATACTTTTGCCATTCATCTACTTTTAATTTTCTGCACAAATACGCCGGACACCCAGTGAATATTAATTTCCAGTTATCGATATATTTATCCCATTATCGCCAAGAAAATTCTGTGCCGCAATAAAAAGAACATATAGCGGCCTTGCTACATGTATCATATCACCGTAAAACAAGTCTTTATATGCTACTCTACCTCAATTTTCATGTATTTGTACTTTTCCTGTTTATTACTCAATATTCCTTACATATTTGCTTGCAGTTACACGCAGACACTCTGTCCCAGTGCTACCGCCAGCAAATCGCCGAGCAAGAGTCCCGCCACAACAGAGAAATCATAGAGTTACAGAGCCGTATCGAAAAATCTTCCAGCCCCGTCGAAACGCCAACGGTACTCCCCAGCACGGCTAGGGAAGAAGGAGAGGGTTCGGAGAGTATCGAAAGCAATAATCCCCCCAAGATATACCCAGTGCCCTTGGAAAGACTGCTCGGATCGGATTCTGATCAGGAGCTCGTCCAAACGAAGAAGCAGATCGCCGAACAGGAGTCCAAACTCATGCACTTGACGGCTCTGTTGTCCGATACGGAGCAGGATCTGGCGAAACACGTGCAGATGAATAAGTTGCTGAAGGAGGAGATCCGCAGGCAGCAGAGGTCTGAAGAGCGGGAGAAGCATGCCGAGAATTTGGAATATCTGAAGAACGTCGTTTTCAAGGTGAGGATTTTAATTTAGAATTTTGCTCGTTTTTTAAATTATTTGGTTCGTGTTTAATTTTAGTTGTTATTAACAAATTTTTAGAACTGATTTAGATGAAAATTGAAAATTGTAGGAAAAACCTTTTTTAAGCAAAAAAAAAGGTTTTTGTTTCAAATATACAGTGTGTGGATGAAATGGGAAAGGTTTTAATTTTTCATTTTTTGGAAAAAAGTTAAAGTAAGGCTGTCGCACAGAATTTTAAATTTGTATGCACAGAACATGCAAAAATTAAATAAATTTTACGATGACGTAGAAATAAACTGCCCATATTTTTTATTAAACAATTTAATTTTCGTAGCATCAAATTATTTTAATCGTACCAATTTGATCAAATTAGTAAAGTAATAAATAAAAGTCTAAGAATGACCCCAAAACCTTTTTTTTGAAATAATTTTGGTGTCTACTCATCTTTCATTTAATTCGAAAACAGAGAACTATTTATAAAAAGAGTTTGGTTGATTTGATAGTTTTATAAAACACGTTGTGAAGTCTTTACGCTATTTTGAATAAATAAAGAGTGACCGCAAAATCCACCTGTTTTTGAGACTTTGACAGAGGCGACAAGAAATATCCTAAAAATATTCTAAAAATATCCAGAAACTTGTAATGAAAAATGAAAATGAGCATCACTTTTAGTTTTTCAAAAATTTTCGAAAATCACCCTTATTTAGGGGTTGAAAAGACAAAAAAAGTGATCTAATTAAGAATCATCAACAGTTGTAAAACCCCAAATATTTCTGTTATCAAAATAATATTTTTTCACATTATCTACAATTTTTGTATATTTGGCGGATGATTTTACCCCTTGAGAGGGATGATTGATGGAGGTATTTCGAAACATAATTTTTTTCATGCATTATAATTATTTTATGTACTTTGAATCCGATGGTTGAACTTAGGGGTGGTTTTACCCTCATTTACGGGTATTTTCCTTCGGATCTAGTGATTGTGGGTTATTACCGGTTCAATTATCACGTATAAAAGAAAAAGAAAAAAATTGTAATTTTTAATAATATTTTTTACATTTTTAGGCGTTTAGGGGATGATTTCACCCCTTTAGGGATATTATGGGTTGATTTTCAATCCAGACAAGACCGTGTCAAATACGAAATTAGATATTTTCACGTTCATAATATTATTTTGATAACATAGAAATATTTGGGGTTGATGATTCTTAATTTGTTCACATTTTTTTTGTCTTTTCAACCGCTAAATAAGGGTGATTTTCGAAAAACTGAAAGTGATGCTCATTTTCATTTTTCATGACGAGTATTTGGATATTTTTAGAATATTTTTAGGATTTTCTCTGTGGCCTCTGTCAAAGTCTCAAAAACAGGCGGAAAAATGGCGTTTTTTGCGGTCACTCTTCTGATACGGACATTAAACTTCTTCACATTTCGAGAGAAATATTACTCTTTTCTTTGAAAGTATTTTTCAAACTGGAAATTAAAAAAAAGAAGTATTACGTCTTTTGACAGATAAAGTCTACTTCAACAAAGTTAAAATTGTCAGAATTTCAAATCGTGGAATAAATTGGTTTATTTAGATGGATCTAAAATAAAAAAATCATCGTTGAGTAAAATTAAAATTGATTTTGAAAAAAATCGTCTAAATGAAATATTGGTATGTGTGCAGAGAATTGAAAATGTAACGTAATGTCAAATTATTGTTACAAGTTGTTAAAAAATTAAAAACTAAAAGAAAAAAATAATAAATTTTGATCATGCGCAAGTTTTTGGCTTATCAACGGAAAGCAAGTAGAAAGAAAGTATTTGGACATCATAAAAAAACTGACTAAAATTAAATATACCTCTTTTTTCATTGAACTAAACATTTTTTTTGCTAAACAGCTTCCGGGCTAAAGTAAAGTTCTTTAGTTCCTGATATTTTAATATTAGTATTTTATTACAGTTATGGTAACCTATTTTATATAAAGATAGAGAATCGGAGAATTTCCTAGTCCTTAAAAGTTTAAAGAAATTACAAAAATGGATAGGCATTGCAAATTATCCTGGATTTACCTCAAAATCAGCCGAACTGCACATTGCAATGTGAACTGAATATGAAACTGTCATTTTAAATCCAAATTTACAAATCAGTATAACTAGATGCTTCGTGAGAACAGTTTTGGAGCAAACAAGTAATTATTAACGGGAACCATTAGCTTATTTCTCTCATAAACTTAAGTAAAATGGACAAATAAGCTACTCGGTATTCGATAGGGGATAGGGATGGGACAACAACATAAGCTTCTATTAAGATTTTTCATTTATTTTCGAAACAAGAGAACCTCAAACGGAGACCCTTAACGACAAAATGAGAAAAACATTTATTTATCTCTTAGAAAACGCTGCAAGCCATAATTCCGTTATTTTTAATAGGATTTTAAAAAACAAAAAATTAAATGAAATGGATCTAAATACACTATAAAGGGTACCTATTAGGACTTATTTACTATTTTTTTTTTTTTGCAAAGTGACAGTCAACTTTTTTTTCAAGTGGCAATATAGTTTTTTTGTTATTTATTATTGTGCAGATTTATTTTCCAACGATGTTTATGAACTTGACTTTTGTAAAGCATTTATTACAGAAAAGACGACAAAATATTAGTCGATACCACATTCGGCGCCCAGCCACTAATTCATGACAAATGTATTTTAACTAATTATCTGTGTCATGGAAAACAAAAAATTATACAGCAAAATAAATAAAACTCAAAAGAGAATTTTGTAAAGAAAAACAATTTAATTAAATACATTAACCATTATACAAAGTTCAACACGATTAGTTAATTAAACACAAAACACATTAAACGAACAACATACACAAAACAACTAAAGAAATAAATTCTCTATCGTTTTCCTCTACTGAATGTACTTTTTGTGGAATGTATGGCTTGAATGTGTGCTTTTTCAATACTGCATATACAGTTTTTTTTGATGCTCTAATATTATTGGAAATTTCCCAGATGGAAATTCTTAGGTTTTCTTCAACATTGAACTCAATGTTTTTATTATATTGGCGTTCTTCTCACTGGTTTCTTAAGAGCACCATAATTTTTCAAATTTTCTTCAAGTCTTACAAATCTACGCGGTTCTGGAACTTCTCTGTGAGGAAATAGTTCTGTAAAGTTGGGCTCCTGCACCACGATTTTTATTACACCGAAAGTATACCTGAATCATGTCCGTCAATTGATTTATTACTCATATTTTGCACTGTTGAGCTTATTTCAATAAATAACCTACTGTAAATGACACACAAAAAGTATAATGCGTAAAAAACTGGAACACGAACGCTAAAATGACATTTACTTGCTTTGTTGTATTATTTTTTTGTTTTCCAGGCATACATGATTAGTCAAAATATGTTTGTTGACAATTAAGCGACCGGGCGCTAATAATGCGGTATTGACAGATATTTTCATGCTTTTTCTGTAATTCGTGTTTCACAAACGTAAACTTTATATACATCATTGAATTCAGAATAGAAATATGCACAATAATCAATAAAAAAACTTATATAGCCATTTGAAAAATAAAAAGTTGATCGCTTTTCAGAAAAAAAAATAAACATGCTCACTCTATACTGTATTTAGAGCCATTTCATATAATTTTTTGTTTTTTAAAATCAGACTATAAATGACGGAGTTATGGTTTGCGGCGTTTTTTAGGAGACAGCCTGTATATGAAATATTTACAATTCCGATTCTATCCCCGTTCAAAAGAAATTAAATTTTTTTTAATTTCAAAATGATCAATTTATCCACAAATTTAAGTTCAGATGTATCTTTTAATTCAAAATAACTTTTCTGGTCTTTGCCGAGCACATATAGGCAAAAACTGGAGAATTTGCTAAGCTGATAAGAAAAATATAGCTTGACATCGTTATTTTAATGGGTATAAAATATGGATTTGGAAAAAATTCATTAGATCAAAATAGCGTAGCTCATAAAAACAATGGCAAGGGCAGTTTACTTTTACCCCATTTTCAGGGTTTTTTTTTTAGTTCTTTGAACACCCTGTACAAGCAAACTTAAATTTCTTCATGCCAACTTTATTTTAAAAACAATAAAATATTTTATCATTCATTTTTAAGTATAATGAAAAATAAAAATATTTATCTTCTCGTCCGCTTTAACCTTAGACAAACAATATATAAAAATTTACTTGAACATAAATAATAATAAAAAAAATGTGTAAATCAATCAGTTTGAAGGACTTTTGTGATTTTCATATCAGTATTTGTATTTCGAATTTATTTGAAGAGCGATCTCTTTGTTTCAGTTTGTGACGTTGCACAGCGGAGACGAGAGATCCAGATTAGTCCCAGTTCTGAATACGATCTTGAAATTAAGCCCCGAAGAAACCCAGAAGCTAAATACCGTCGCCAGAGGTGACTCGGGCATAAAAGGGTGGACAAACTACCTGCCAGCGTGGCCATCTCCCAGTAAACCTTAGTAATAACCACTATAATTTTATGTATGTAAATATTTATGATGTAAATATGAAAAATAAATAACATTATTATTCTTGCTCCAAATTTTATTCACAGTTGAATTTCCCGCGTGCAAATCACCCCTCCGAACGTCACATCCCTTAAAGGATTTTTGCACGACCTTATTGGCTAATTATTTTTATCGACCTCCCCTATTCTGCTTAAAATATTTTTACGTACGCGTTCTGTTAGTCGGATTTGGATGCGATTTGTTTATTTTGACGAAAACGAGAGTAGTCCTACATAATAACGCGCAAAGTTACATAAACAAACGGAATTTGTTTACAACCCGAAATCAATACTTCCTCCCCTCCACACGACCTCTCCTGCCATTTCCGTCGGCTCGCAGTTAGAGATCGCTGTCGGTTTTCCCGTTCTCTTGCTGTGCTTTCCGCAGGTAAGTGGAGCTTTAAAGTATTTTGTGAAAATTCGAGAGTTATCGCGGTCGTAAGTTATCATCGGAAGTGGGAAATAGATAAGGTTTGCAGCCGTTGACCCCGCGATTTGAGATATTTGAATATTTTCAGTAATTTTGACGTTTAGGGAAACGGGCGGATCTGACGGCCGGCGAAATCGTGAACGTCCTCAATTTCACAATAAGTTCGCCCTTAATCGAGATAAATATACAACAAAATTACGAGTTTATTCCAAATTATTATTTCTGAATCATTTTATAATCTAAATTTTTAAATGTTACTATTAAAAAACTTGAGGTGTCTTGATATCACTAATCGGAGATACCGGCATTCCATATTTTTTTATGGAGGTTCTTCTTTGTTTATAGGTCTTTAAAAACTACAGACAAGTATTCTTTCGGTATTGTGTTTGTGTATAATATGACTTATTACTAGCATTAATAATAATCAATTAATGTGACCTGCCTTAATAATGGCGGCTTGCTGCGGCTTTTTTAAATCAAAATAACATTGAATTGAATTAACTATTTTCTTGCACGCTAAATATTGTACATCGTTATATTTTTTTGTAAATATTCGGTGCTTGCTCGTCACATTGCATCACAACATGGCTGCCCTACTGCATTTTATATAAAATGCATCGCGATCACTATGTTATTCAGCTCTAGTTTAGGATTTGTTATTCTTAATTTGCTTTTTTGTGGGAAACCCCCAGATTATCGGTGTTTGATGTAATATCTTATATAAATAACATTGCTTGAATTGTTGTAAAAAAATCAATAAAGAGTATTAATTAGATCTCAAGGTTGAACTAATTAACCTTTTCAAAGAATTCGCCTGCAAAACTGCATAATTCTAAAAAAGTATATTTTTTAAGTTACAGTCAATAATATTGAGAATGAATGCAGCACAGTAAATCATGCCCCACCCTTTTGTGATAAGGACACTGAATAGTGCAGTTTTTAGCAAATTGTGTGGATAATCTACAGAATATTTTTGATGTAGGTGTTTATTTAATAATACTAACTAAATTGCTGCAATTTGAAGAAAATTATACACAAAAGTATTTTAATCTATTGATACTTTTTTTTCCTTTGTGATCAATAATATTTCACAATAAAAGGATCACTAATTAAATTTTCTAGATTAATGTTTTATAAAGCCAGATTATATACAAATTATTACAAAATCAATTGAGTAGTGGAAACAAACATATTTTTTTTTTGCAGAAGAAACATAAAAGCTCGTCAGTATGGGGAAGGAAAAGATTCACATTAACATTGTAGTCATTGGTCACGTAGATTCTGGCAAGTCCACTTCTACTGGTCACTTGATCTACAAATGTGGGGGTATCGACAAACGTACTATTGAAAAATTCGAGAAGGAGGCCCAAGAAATGGGCAAGGGTTCCTTCAAATACGCGTGGGTCTTAGACAAATTGAAGGCTGAACGTGAACGTGGTATCACTATTGACATTGCCTTATGGAAATTTGAAACCGCAAAATATTACGTTACCATTATTGATGCCCCCGGACACAGAGATTTCATTAAGAACATGATTACGGGCACTTCTCAGGCCGATTGTGCAGTTCTAATTGTGGCTGCTGGCACCGGTGAATTCGAGGCTGGTATTTCTAAAAATGGACAGACCCGAGAACACGCCCTTTTGGCCTTCACTCTAGGGGTAAAACAACTTATCGTAGGCGTGAACAAGATGGACTCCACCGAACCCCCGTACTCCGAGGCTCGTTTTGAGGAAATTAAGAAGGAGGTTTCTTCCTACATCAAGAAGATTGGTTATAACCCAGCTGCCGTTGCTTTTGTACCAATCTCTGGATGGCACGGTGATAATATGTTGGAGCCCTCCGATAGGATGCCTTGGTTCAAGGGATGGAGTGTCGAACGCAAAGAGGGCAAGGCCGAGGGCAAGACTTTGATTGAAGCTCTAGACGCCATTCTGCCTCCTTCTCGTCCAACGGAAAAACCACTCCGCCTTCCGCTGCAAGTAAGTTACTAATTTCTTGAGCAAATTTATGTAAAATTATTGTTTGTGTAACAAAATCATGGGTTGGGTAATTAAGTCACTCCTTATACATTAATAATTATTACTACAGTACAAGTAATTAACTGACGAAAGGAAATTTTGAGACAAAATAAAATTTTGGAGTGGCGTTTCACGGGGGCCTTGTAACATTACATTAAAGGATAAATATTATTTTTATTTTAAGGATTCTGTTTGATTTTAGGACGTCTACAAAATTGGAGGTATCGGTACTGTACCAGTCGGTAGAGTCGAGACCGGAGTCTTGAAACCCGGTATGGTAGTGACTTTTGCTCCGGTGGGTCTGACCACTGAAGTCAAGTCAGTAGAAATGCATCACGAAGCTCTGCAAGAGGCTGTGCCCGGAGACAACGTTGGCTTTAACGTTAAGAATGTCTCCGTCAAGGAACTGCGTCGCGGCTATGTCGCCGGCGATTCCAAGAACAATCCCCCCAGGGGAGCATCCGATTTCATCGCTCAAGTAATCGTTTTGAACCACCCCGGACAGATCGCCAACGGCTACACTCCCGTGTTGGATTGCCACACGGCCCACATCGCCTGCAAATTCGCCGAGATCAAGGAGAAGTGCGACCGTCGTACCGGCAAGACCACCGAGGAGAATCCGAAGGCTATAAAATCGGGCGACGCGGCCATCGTCAACCTGGTTCCGACCAAGCCCATGTGCGTGGAGTCATTCCAAGAGTTTCCGCCGCTGGGTCGATTTGCCGTACGCGACATGCGGCAGACCGTTGCCGTAGGAGTAATAAAATCGGTGACCTTCAAAGACACGACCGGTAAAGTAACGAAGGCCGCCGAGAAAGCCCAAAAGAAGAAATAACTAGGCATAGCCAAGCGTTCTGCCAAGGGCCCCAAGAAAATCTTCATCAACAATTATTATTTGTTCTCTAGGTGGCTACAGCAGAATTATTTTCATCGCAAGGAGTTCAGGAGGAAAAATATTTTATTCTCATTTCTGTTAGGTTTATTAATTTATTGTAATATTTTGTTTAGTTTGTTTTTTATTTTATGGGATGAGAGCATTTCAGATAGGATAAGTTACTTTAATATTGATATTATTTGTTATTTCTTTTTGTTAACTTGATGAATGATAGACTTGAATACAAATTTATGTAAAAGCTTCTTCGAGTATAACCAATAAAGAAGCTTTCGAATGAATTTCGTTGTTTTTAATGAACCAAAACCCTATTAAAACTTAAATAAAAGGTTTATTCCTACAGAAAATGATTTTAGTGAACAAATTAAATATTTACATTTGTCCGGAAATAAATACTTATATAGTATATAATTAGAGGTCACCGCCCTTGCTTTGGCTACTGTCTAGTCTACACCACAAAATATGAAAAAGACTGCCTACTGTGTATGTGCCATGTGCTTAAGGGTTCGTTAGGCCATCAATTGAGAAGAAGAAGAATTTGGTTCAATTAGCAACATTGTATGTTAAAGAACGAGGTTATATTTCTTCTCTTTGAATATTAAAAAAAAATGAATTTTATAAAATGTGTAACTAATCTGTTATCGAACCAGACCTTAAAGACAAGCCAAAACGTAACACTTAATTGTTGTGTAATACAAACTAGTAACTAATATGATTTTTAGCTTCAGCAAATTCGCACAAAGTATGTAAACCGTTGGATGATAAGGGATGTAAAGAGGCGGAAAGTGGTAACTGAGTACGCCCCCAGTCGCCTACGGATAAATTCTTTGAGGAAGAACGATATTCTGCCACCTGAGCTAAGGGAAATAGCAGACGCAGAAATTGCAGCTCTGCCTAGAGATTCTACTTTGATGAGGCTTACAAGGCGATGCGTAGTCACCTCAAGGGGGAAAGGCACCGTTGTGCGATGGAGATTGAGTAGGATTGTGTTTAGGCATCTAGCGGATTATAATAAATTGGCTGGTGTACAAAGAGCTATGTGGTAGTCTTGGGTGTGTGATTATAGTTTTTTTTTTCTTATAATCTTAGTAAAGTGTATATAATTTACCGTTCACGTCTTATTTAACCTTATTGTCTGAAATTATTTATTTGTGGCATAGTTTCTTATTTGGTTATTTCGCGTACTGTCAATAAAAAAAATTTGTTTTTTATGAAATTGCTCTTGGTTTATTTATTCTCGGTATGCAGAGTATATCTTGGTTTTACATTATGAACTCAAATAGTAAAAGATGGAAATATTCTTTGGGCCGACTCAATGGAAAAGTGCAAATAGGTTGAAAACGCTGTAATCAAACCAAAAATCTCTAAAAAAAAAAGTAGAGAAGTAAAAAAAACTGAAAAACTGCAGTCACTTAGTTTTGCTTTGAAATTTAGAACTTTTTAACAGATTGATTTCTAAATGTAAACCAAGTAGACTTAATTAGACAATAAAAACTACTTCATCGATCCTTTTGGTATTTTATTTTTTTCACAGGAGGAAAATCCAAATTAGAAAATATTTATCCTTCCTACTTTTAGTTTCTTTCAATGATGCTACTAAAATTTACTATATACACAAGTTGCATAAAACAGAACAGTATGTACAGTCTAAGATAACACCTAAAAAAAATAAATGTAAAAAAAACTATAAACAAGTATAAGGAATCAAAATCAAATTACTCAAGTTGATATCAATTTTTCTCTGCAGTCATCTGTATATTTAAGTCCAGATATTATTATAAAGCACTTGAATGCTTTCAAAACAACTTATTATTTCCAATATAACAGCGTTAATTCAAAAAATGAAACTAGAGTTTAAAAAACAAATTTTATTCTTACGACATAAGTTACAAAAAGAAATGTACTTCAATCAAAGAGTCCAAGACCCATATCGTCATCACTTTCTTCTGGTTCAGACTCTTTTTTCTTTTCTTCTTTAGCCGGGGCAGCCGCTGCAGCGACAGGTGCAGCTGCAGGGGCAGCTCCACCAGCTGGAGCAGCACCTACCCCAGAACCGATGTTGGTGATGAGTTCCTTGATATTGACACCCTCCAAAGCTTTGGCAAAGAGACCAGGCCAGTAGGGCTCAACGTCTACGTTGGCAGCCTTCAGGATAGTTTGGATTTTCTCACCCTGAAATATATTATTAACTCACTATTAGGTTCATGTTACTGGTTTAAAAGTATATGGATTTACGTTTAAATAAATATAGAAAAGGTAAACGTGTAATAAGAAAAAAAATGTATAAATGTTTATCTTGAATTTACGTAGCGGTAAAAACTTCTAGGTTAGGTTAATATTCAAATTCAAATCGACTTCAAAATACAAATATTTTAATAAAACAAAACAATAAATAAACTCCAAAATATACATAACATGATATAAAATTTAGATTACAGAAACTGAAAGAAATAAAATAAGATTTTCTTGAAGATAACATAACCTATAATATTAAAAATAAAGTTTACTTACGGTAACGGCAATATCATCATCCGCCAAGATAAGTGCGGAATAAACACAAGCTAGCTCAGCGTTGGAAGTCATTTTTAAATAAGTTTGAATAAAACTTTTGGTGCAAGTCGCCTTTTTGGCCTTAGCTCAACACGAGAACAAGCACACGTCTAGAATGGAAAGATTGAAAAGAAATAAAGAAATATATTTTGACAATTTTGACAGTTGTTTCCACAACTTAAGATCGCTAAAGTAGTTAACTTTTTAGCCCGATTATTATCTTAGTCAACCTTAGAGCACATACTACTGGAAACAGCGTCCAGTGGCAGAGAGTGTAGCGGAGGTTTAGTGAGAGAGAGAGAATATATAAGAGTGCATTTGCTATATCTCTCTAGCAATATGCAGTCGCGTGCTACTAGAGAGAAACAGCAAAACCTCCGCTACACTTTCGGCCATTGAGCCGCTGCCTCCAGTAGTAAATGCTCTAAGGGAGCCCTAAGGATAATTATAATACATAAACATCCTTGGGGGCTCCATGCATGAAACGATATCGACCAGAGGTCCTTTCGATTTGGCAAAAATGGTAGCTATTAGTAGCTAATAGCAGCTTAGAGTTATTCTAAACTGATATTAGTTGCTAATAGGTACTATTTTTGTTAAAACGAAAGCCCCCCAAGGAGTACATTTAGAAATAGTTTGAGATGTTTCATAAAGCCGGCGGGGCCCAGCCAGGACAAAAGGAGGTCCCACAAAGCGCCTACACCGGCCGCATTTGCGGTCGGGGTAGACGACGGATGGGGCCCACCTACGAAGGCTGTCCAGGCCTACACGAGATGAGGCAGGATAAAGAGGGATAATCCCCCTCGATTCCAAATCATTGAGGCCAATTTCTAGCCATGGAATAATGGCGCGTGCTCATATACGTGAAAATGTGTCATAAAAATTAATTCTATCACGCGCGTCGCTATGGGACCTATAGTGTAGGGGGTTAGGTGCACGGAAAGTGCTAGATAGTACAACAGCGTGATGTTATTTTCATAGCGCAACGCTCCAGCACGCTGTTGTACTATCTAGCACTTTCCGTGCACCTCCAGGGGTCGGCAAGTAATTTTAGGTGGGATCCGGATACTTTTGAAAATTTTTAACGAGGTCCAGAAAAAAATTCATACTTCTTATTTTTTTTATTTTAATTTGGACTCAAATTTGCTTACTAACCATTAAGAACTCACACACTCACACAATTGTAAAATACTAGAAAAAATGATAAGATTGGCACTTAAATGTAAAAAACATTTTTTAAATAATTTATTTGAGTAATTTATACTTTCAAAAAATTTTTGGCGGTCCAGTATTTTACCTTCCGCGGTCCGGACCTGGACCGCGGTCCGCCAGTTGCCGACCCTTGTTCTAGAGCTTGTAGAGCTTACCAAATTTGAATAATTTATATTTTCTGGTTCATGTAAAATTTGTCACCCTGCAACACGTAAATTGGATCTCTGAACTTACCTATGCTGGGGTCACCCCGTATATTTATGTTTTCATTTTTGTTGTATATGTGTGTTAAATCGCACAATCAGAAAATAGAGGAACCGGAGCGGAAAATTAACATAGCAATAAACTATCTGACATAAACTTTATAAATGCGATAGAAATAAATATTCAGACCAAAAGTGACGAAAAGTGGTCGGAAAACTAGGGCAATAAAGCAGTAAGCACCGCTAAAACGTATTTTATGTAGGCACTCGCAAGAAATGTCTTGTTTGATACATAGAAATAAGGAAAAGCCTGCAGGTCGGACAAAACAAGAACTTGGCAAAAACTACAACTTTATTAAAAACGGAATATGCTCGTAGTTCTATAAAACACATTAATACCCAAGCGGAGGATGGCCAAAAAACTAATTGGATATGGAGACAAGGGTGCATACAAAGTACCAGACATGGATGCCACAATCGATAATGCACTCCGCTTGCCAAATATGAGATGCTAATTTCGGGGTGTGACAGATCTGTTGTTTCATTGTTATGGGAAACAAATATCTAAACAGAGAAAGCGAAATTTATTTATAATAGGCATGGTTCTTTGACGACCATAAATATAACATATTTTCAGCTTACTGATTATTATTATTATTTTATAAAAAAAACGTAATGCGATTGATTATAAATTAAAATGATATTATTGTTTACAGATATAGTGCTTGGAACAAAGTCCGAGTTCCATGTGATCAGAGTACGTTTGACGCCAAATAAATTCAATATTTAGCAGTAAATTCGTTTTTGTTNTAGTTTGTTGAGGTTTGACGTTTTGGCGAGAAATGTAGTTAACCCGGTTTGGCAGAGTTTGCCTAACCATCAAACCGGACTTGTGGGTTGGTTTGGATATTAAGTTAATATTTCTATCTTTGTTTATTTATTTTCTGTTTCGTACCATCGTACCTAGTCACTACTTCGTTTTTTTAGAGGTTTGGATAGGTATAAGTTTTAGAGGTTTGGATAGGTATAAGTAATCGAGGATCCAAATAACTTTAATCGTAGATATGCATTTTCTATATTGTACTGTATAGATCTTTATTAACTTCCTTTTAGACGATACATTTACGTTGAAATAGATAATATTTGTGAACAAGGTAAACCCATTTTGATATAATAACCATCTATACATTAACGTTATTTCATGGATGTGCATTTCAGATTAGGAATAACAACTATAGTATATAAGAAATAATCAAACAACTTGAGCTACGAGCACTATCATAGATTATAGGTTACGATTTTATTATTGATTAGATATCCAAACCGAAAGAATTTTTGCGAGTTCTGTCAAATGTTAACTCAAACTCTTAACACAATCAAACTCGAGCTAACCGGGTTTGATGTGGTTTGGCTCGCCAAAAAACCCTTATAATATTCATAGAGGTGAGGTTATTGGTTTCTGATAAGCAAAGATAAATTATGTAAATATTTAAACTTATATATAATATTGGAGATTATAGAAACTTTTTAAGAATTTTTTTCTCATAATTTGAATGACTAGCGAGATTTTCATAACACATTTCGCCATTTCGCGATACGCCTACATGCTATGAATAAATTAAACTTATCAATTTAACTAGTGCAGCAATTAATAGGGGTGTGAATCATCACAATATCACTTCTGAAAACCCAGAACGCCCATTCAGCAAATTATGTTAAGGTAGCATAGCTGCAATGGCCAAGTCCAGTTACAGGTAGATTTAATATTCAAACGGTTGATCATGAAATGAACTAAATATATTTTTCAGCAAAGTGGATGAGTATGGATTTGAGAGGCCTGAAAATTTCAATTATGATATGTACGACAATTTTATGTCCCAATACATAAGAATCCTTACTCGTAGAGCTCAGAGGTGGAGTACCCTCAAAGGGGATATTTACAAAAAATCGAATACACTAAAAAGATTTGTGAGGAAGGGAATACCTAGTGATCGCCGTACGTCAGCCTGGATGCACATATCAGGAGCTGAGAACTTGAAGAATTCTTGTTCATTCACTTATGGGCAGCTAAGAAAGAAGATAGACAATCAGAATATAATTGAAACAATACAAATTGATCTACCGAGGACTTTTCCCGATAATATATATTTCACAAGCCATGAGCATCTTCCTACAATGCTGTATAACGTGTTGGCCACGTTTGGACACCAAAACAAAGAAGTGGGATATTGCCAAGGACTGAATTACATAGCTGGGCTATTACTGCTTGCAACCAAAGATGAAGAAGCTTCCTTTTGGTTGCTCAAAGCCTTAGTTGAACAAATCCTACCTCAATATTACATAGTTACTATGACTGGCCTATTAACTGATCTCGATGTATTAGATGACTTAGTACAAAGATATGAACCGGTGGTACATAGACACATTCACAATATTGGAATGCCTTGGGCTATGGGCACCACTAAGTGGTTCATTTGTTTATTTTCCGAGGTGCTTCCGACGGAAACCGTTTTCAGAATTTGGGACTGCCTGTTCTATGAAGGTTCAAAAATTATATTTCGCGTGGCGATAACATTGATTAAGTTGCATAAACAGAAGATTCTCCAGACAAGCGAATTGGGAGAGTTAATCACTTGCTTTAGGGACATGCGAAATCATGAAACTGTGATCAACTGTCACCAGTTTATGAGTGTAAGTAAATATTTTTGAGTATTCCACAATTTAGTATTAAAATGTGTTTTATTTTCTGTTAAATTAGCGTGCAAGAATGATTAAGTATAAGTATACCTAAAAAATATTTTTTAAATAACAATATTTTCAGTAGATAACTTTTCACACTAACAGTTACTATTACACTAATTTAAACTAACATTTTTACCTCTGTACACATTAGAGCAATCAAAAATAATATTTTCTCCAAATGAAAAACCTTATTGACATAGTGTAAAGACAAAAAAAGTGAGGACAGTTAAAGGAAAAATAAAAGAAAGATAATAGAGATATGAATAAAAAATTCGAATGCAAAATTTTTATTAAAAACCTTAACTTAATGTAACCTTACCTAACCGAATCTAACAGAGATACTAAGCCGACATAAAAGAAAAAAACAAATACACAAGCAACTACAACAAAAAATTAATGATAACTGACAACTTCACCTAAGCACAAAATAATAAAATATCCATGACACGGAAGAACAAATACAAAAAATACCTACTTACCATTTCGTAAAACCTTCGATGATTAATGGTAATTTCCAAAAATATACAATTTTAATGACATTTACAGAACAATGGCTGCGAAAAAATAAATATATAATTTTTAATATTTCTACGTATTTATAAATTACCGAAGTATTTATAAATGCAAGTTTAAGGTAAAGGGGGGAAAAAAGTTGATTGCCCTAAAGAGTTATAGAGCACATTTATTAGTATTAATGAATCATAAAAATTTACTTAATTTCAGGATGTGTTTAAGTTATCAGGAAACTTATCGAATAGTCAAATTGAAAAATTAAGAAGAAAATATAAGAAAGCCTAATTACCAAAGATCAAAACCATTGGTATTTTATCTACTTATAGATTTATTATATTTCTAGTCTAAAAATTACATTTTTATATTATATACTTTTATGTACATTTTCAAATAAATACCTAAATATATCAATTAGTTATCTAGAATGTTTTTCTAAATAATCCTTAGCCTCATTAATTTTAGATGCTAAATAAGGAGAGCCTCCTCGATCGGGATGATTCACAGCCATCACCTTCTTAAACGCGTCTTTTACTTTTTGTTTGTTAGCTGATGGGCTTATCCCTAAAATGCATTAATAGAATACATTTACCTTTTGACTAAAAAACGAATCAATACAAACCTAGGATTAAAGCGGCTTCCCTCCTGTTCATTTTCTGATCGAAACCTCCTTTGTAATATTTTGAACTCGCTTCAAAGTTTGGTAAATTTTTCATAGCTTCGTTAAACGTTTTGGCAGCATTTGGCATCTGTCGCAGAAGGTATTTACCAGTAAAGGCTACGGCAGCTACGCCTAACCCGGCCAATATTACCCCATTCTGAATAATATTAAATAAATACATTTAACTTCTCATAAAGTAAATAAAATACGTACCATTTTTGAAAAATTATTCGGTAGCTTTACTTTAGATCCTATTTTTAGATTTTGTTTGTCGTAAACTTTATAATTCCAGAACGTAAATTTTGAACTTAACCTCAAATTATTCCGTTATCTATCTAGGCATGGAGACTAGATAAGGAGCACGAACTCATACGGAAAATTTGACAAAATTTGTCCAAGAAATGGCAGAAGTTGGGGTGGCGCTAGTGTTCCATATGACCCAAATGAATGTAGCTTCATAAATACGAGTGAAGTAAGCAAATAACCAATTTTATTTTATTTATATCGAGTTTAGTAGATATATTGGGGAGCGGGGAGGTATACTAAACCTAAAAACTAGAAGTCAAGTCAATAATTATTACAATTTGTTTTTATAAATGGTAAATAGAAAGTTTCGAAAATAATTTAAATATGGTAATAGTATGTGAAGTGAATGACTGTCAACAGATTTAAAATAAAACAGTACGTTTGTGATTTGCATTTTCAATCTAATGATGTCCAGCTGTTCTATATTACAACTTGACCGAATAGTGGGTTAATATTATGGCAAAAGGTCGAATAATTCGGAAGTTGGAAGCAGCTTCTTTGATTCTTAATACGGTAGAGAAATTTTTAAATAGAAAGATTTCATAAGTGAAAATATTGTATAATTGAATGATGCATTGTTTCTTTATATATTTTGCAGCAGCATCAACAGCAAGAGCATCCGCTACACCAGCAACATCAGGTGCAGCAGCTACAACAAGAGCAACAGTTACAACAGCAACAACAAGAACAGCAAGTAAATCAAGAGCAATTAAGTTACGATGAGATTATACTAGAAAGTGAGCATCCTGTCCTGTATAATCTAATAAAAGAAAAGTTCTGTTGACGTGTGATGAGGTCTCGACAAAGCAACTATGAATATGTTCACATAATATTGACAATAGCAACAAAGTATACTTTATTTATTTCTACATATTCTTGTAATTTATATTACGTGCATAAATAATTAAATTCGTATCTTTCATATAATTCT